TTTGAGGCAGTTATGTGATGTAAAACGCCAACTAGAACAAGACCGCGACACGCGGAAAGCACTATGTAAAAAGTACCATAGAGCTTTCAATATCGTAGACGGGCTGATACTGCCCTTATGGCAACCAGCATGGGGCTAGGGGCGGCAGGTGTTGGGTTGTTAGCTACCGTCGTGGCTACCCCCGTAGTGCTAGGCATTGAAATAACAGCTGGGGTGGCAGGGGTGTTAGGGTTGGTGCTTAAGTTTGCATCCCGCAGACTGCATCGTAAGGCATTGAAACACGACGAGATCAGGGTTCTGGCTGAAGCAAAGCTGAACACAGTAAGTGAGCGTATTTCCACTGCACTCACTGACAGTAAGATCTCAGAGGAGGAGTTTAGTTCAATCCTCTCTGAACTCACAAAATATAACAAAATGAAACAAGAGATTCGATCCAAGTCTCGTAAGTCTGCTATCAGTGAGGATGAGAAAAAAAAGTACATAGAACAAGGGGTGAAAAAAGCCCAGCAAGCCTTTATTACAAACACCAAAGAGATCATAGGCGATTCACATTAAACTGTTTCATCGAGGTAAACATGGCATAGCGGCACAATAGTGTCATAGCGGCACGCTAGACGCAGCCCAGTATTGGATGATGCAATCCCAGGATAGACCCGTTAAACCGACATACTTCAACCATGTCCCCGGTAGCTCAGTCGGTTAAGTGGCACGGCTAGAAGGTGTAACATTGGGCGTTCGCATCCCGCTAGCGTCCCAAACTTTTTCATAGTAGGGGTAATGGCAGCAAGAGCTAAGGGTCCGACCAAAGCCTTATTTGGGAAATAAGGCTTTGCAGAGGCTTTTGTTGAAAGTGATCCAAAACCCCCATTGTATATACTACTTCGTTGGCCTCGGTAGGCAATGACCTGGGCCCCGTTCCTCAAAGCGATCGTAGCGCTACGACAGTCGTAAGTCTATGTTAAAGTATGGGAGTTACGATCACCTTAGCGCTACGATCGCTTTGAGGAATGGGGCCCTGGACTGTGTGACCGTGGGAAACCGCATAGCACTTATGCCACACTTCCATCCTGATCTCACGTGATCGTTTTGCACCAATCGTCAACACCTGGCTGACCTCATTTCACAAGGGGGCAATGACCTTGTACTGAGCTGATCTAAGAAATCGCCGTCATGGGCGTCCTCCGTTAGTCTCAGGGGACAATGACCTGGACTGTGTGACCGTGGGAAACCGCATAGCACTTATGCCACGCTTCCAGCTTGATATCACGCCATCGGTTTGCACCAATTGGCGTATAGCATGTCAATTCATTCCTGTGAGACGTCATCAAATCAAAATCATACGATGCCAATTGAACCAATTAACGAATAGCAAATATCGAACTGATATCACGCGATTGTTTCGGACCTATCGGTGTATAGTGTGATTGTTCCACATATGACGCGATTCATTCCTGTGTGACGTCATCAAATAAAAAATCACACGATACCAATTGGACCAATCGGCGAATATCGAATTCAATGATTTGATTATGAGACAATCAACAGAGTGTGTAAACCGGAGTTTAACCGTTAATTTCAAAATCAAGCCTAGCCATTGAAGAAGTGCCACACAAGCTCGCCCTCTCGGCAGCATTTCAGATACCTATACTGTCGAAGCCTTAGTTTAGTAAATAATGAATAAGTGAAGAAAACATCAAATCTAAGGTATTAACGATGAAATGAATAGTTATCATGAACATTGTTTGGTTTCCCTATACCCAAACAACCGAACTAAATAGAATTTCAATGTAATTCAAACTTACCGCTGTGCCATCGCCAAACATGCTATCCAATCCATATTGCCATTGTATTCTGCCTTGTTATGCGATATATATATAGGAATCAAGGATAGTATTGAGATGTTATACCAAAATCCCATATTTTTGTGATTATATTGAATGAATCAACCACCAAAAACATGAGACTAATGTAACTTCCATGTAAAAATACACTCAACACTCACTGCGCTGACCTAGTCCCGCCTAATATACCTCCGCTCCGAGCGGTTAACACTGGTGACCTGCATTGCGTCTGTGTTAGTCTATTTGACGCGAGAATCCTACCCTAAAATAGTATCGTTGTCGGAGTAACAACCTATGTTAATATGATGGAATTATTTCGTTCAGCCCATGAATTACTCCCTTTTATACCTCTAAACAACTCTTTATAATTAAAAAGTATGATTTTGCATTGAATGAATGCATCATGATAACACAATAATAATAATAATAAGTGTTCTTGTATAGCGCACAAATCAAACTGCAAGGCAATTTCTCTAGGCGCTAAAAGATAGAGTGATCTGAAGAAAGGATTAAAGTTCATAAGCTTGTTTAAAAAGGAAAGTTTTCAGTTGGGACTGGAAAGATTCCACGGACGCGGCTTGTCGGATGTGAAGAGGCAGTGAGTTCCAGAAAAGGGGAGCTGTGTAAGAGAACTGTCTATGTCCATATGACTTTTATCTGACCTTGGGGACATTCAACTGACAATTAGAACTTGATCTTAAAAGCCGTGGTGGGACATATTCACTTTATCTATTTTAAAACAAAAAGCATGCATAAATGAACGCTATGCTCGAGTCAACATTTTAGCATCAAGACTTGTTGTTGAGGGGGAGCATCATGTTTCGGCTTAGGGTGAAGTAATGTGGGCACGGTGGGCGAGCTGGCTAAGGCCCCAGGCTAGTGATCCAGCGCGGTTGAAGCGTCGGGATCGAGCCCACCTGTGACCGGGTGTAAAAACCTTTCAGTCAACTTTGTGTGCAGACTCTTTCAGTGTTGTCACAACCCCTAGTGTACAGTACACAACCCTGTGCACTTAAAAGAACCCACGAATCCGTTGGTATTTGACCAGATGGTGGCCACATAAATACGTGCAAACACCTAGTTGTGGGTACAGCAACGTGCAGTGAACATGGACAAAGAACTGTGACTATGTGTCCCAGTCCACCCAGCTGTGAATGGGTACCTCGTTAGGATGAGAAAGCCACAATAACTCGGTGCGCCTAGTGGCTGCAAGAGTTGTATACTCCCCATGGAGTTGAGATTGATAATGCGATGTGCCGTTGAGATTGACATCCAATGATCGAGGGAAAGAATACCAGCGCCTTGAGCATGCACTAGTGCGTGGATATGTGCTATATAAATATCCTATAATATTAATAATAATAATATAAATATCCTATAATAATAATAATGTGTTAGGTACTCTGAGACAGGTTAAGAATGTTGGCGTTTGAGTGTAAATAAAGAGATTGGGGGTGAGTTCGAATTTCCAAGGGATAAACTTTTTATTGGTTTACTTACTATGTTTTATTGCTTTACTATGTTTTATTGCTCTACTATGTGTTTTGCCACCCTCTCAATGTATATGATGTATTTGAACATTCACAAAATGAAACATTTCAACTTGATATAAATAATAGTTTACTTGCAGATATTAAAGGGTGTACAGGGTTTGATTGTCTTTCACTGGATAACACTATTGTATAAAAATGTACATTAACATGTACCTAAGAGTCAATAGGTTTTTTTTCTCATTGTTAGTCATAATGTATGAGCTTGAACAGAATTGCAAACACACATAAACCCGACAATAACAACTGATTCACATTAATTCTTGGTGTGTAGTGTATGAATTATAGCACAAATCCGTAGACATTCTGCCACATACAAACAAGAAAGATATACAGAATTCATGTCATTATTTATTTGGTGGTGGTTGTACTTGTGGTGGTGCTCGTATGTGTTGATTCCTGGCATCTCAATGAGATTAGTATTTGAGCAATCTTCTATTCATACATGAACAAAAGACTATAGATACGCAACCAATGCAAATATACTCTCATATGGATTTATTACCAATAACAGTTTCACAAATATACACTATTTTACAATGAACTTAACACTCTTTGTTACAAATGTAAATCCACTTGACTACCCCAGCGGGCCACCTCTTTCTGAGGTATTCCCACCAGGGCCAAATACACAGTCTGAAAAGACCACTTTTCATGTTCGACCCAGGGATCATCATCTACTTCCCAGTTCTTGAGAACGAGACCACATTGAAAACACTTGCAAGCGCCCCCTCTGATTATGTACACAAATCCTGCCCGGGCCATTTGACGAGGACTCTGTTTCATATGCACAGGCCAGGTCTGAAAGGAATTCAGCCGTTCTTGGAATCTTGTTTGAGGTTTCATCAGAGCAGGGGTACTGTCCAAACATAGGTCGTGGTGTCCACATATATCACCTCCCAACGAGGTGACAACGAGGATCCTGTAACTCTGTCAGTGATTTGTCAGTAGGGTCAGGAGTCTCAAGACCCAACAATTTCATGGCTCCAAAGCTTTACAAAATAGGGTGTAAGCTTCTGGGGATCCTTCCACGAAGCAACGTTTACTAAGGTTAATTTTAATTCCCATTCTTTAACATTGCACTAGGTTACCTTAGTGACTTACGATCGCCTTAGTGCTTTGTGAAAGGAGAGAGAGAGAGAGTGAGAGAGAGAGAGAGAGAGAGAGAGAGAGAGAGAGAGAGAGAGAGAGAGAGAGAGAGAGAGAGAGAGAGAGAGAGAGAGAGAGAGAATGTATAGCTTGATACAGTCTGTGAAATCGGGGTTGAAGTGATCCACGATCAGAAATGAAGGGGTTTATATGTTTTCATTCCCAAAACGAATTAAACCAGTTGATTTATCAGTATTCCATGATGTCATTCCCTTCCGATTGCTATCCACCTGATTTAAGTGTCCTTAACATTCATAACATTATTTTTCCCATGGTCACGCAGTACAAGATCAGCCACCAGTGAAATGAGGTCAGCCAGATGTTGATGACGTCATAAACAAAATGGCCGACTTTTGTTCTATTTAAGTGTATTGTAATATCTAATGATTTCCTGGATCCGGACAAAATTGAAAAGAAGGTGTTGACACTGTGTGGAAACTTGGAAAACAGGGTTCTAAAACTGCGCATCACAAACAATGTTGCAGCAACAATTACCCGAACTAAAGGAACGTGTGCGCAACAAACTCTTTGAGACGGAGCAGGAGCTGCATGATCTGGGCGAGGATCCTCCCAAAACATCCTCTGAGAAGCGGCAGTTGGCACACCGGGTAAGTGAGTGATAACATGTTCCTGCCATATATAGACATGTATTACATCATGGTTTCACACCTATATGGCTTCTCGAGGTAAGTAAATAGTGTATAGAAAGTTGTGCCCATGTCATTTCTTGTTGAAGATGCATGAAGTAAAATACTCGAAAAACATAATATATCAGTTTGAATTAAATGTAACAAAATAAAACATTGTGTGCCCCATGAATGTACTTTTAAAGAAAAAGTGTTGTAGAAATCAGTTCTTACAAGCCAATTAAGCTTGTAAATTTGGATCAAATACTCTCAGAATCTATATTCTGATATGATTCCTATATGTGTATATTCCTAAATGTGTAAACATTCTAAAATCTGTAGCTCGATTTAAATGAAGCACTGAAATGGATATTCATGAACGCATTACTTTATGAGATATGATGTTTTTACAGATGGTCCACGAGTTTATAACGATTACCAATGCCGTGATGACTGGAGAATGTGTCGATGACCGAAGGTTTCCACCAGAGATTAACAACCTCTACAGCGATGCTCGCGAGACTTTCGAGAAGTTTTATAGCAATTGTGTTGCAAAACAACCAAGTAAGTGGAGTACAGAGTAATTTGAAATGTTTTAAAGACATTTTAGAGTTTGCATTTCAGTGAGAAATGTGTGGCAATATTACACAATAGTTATACATGTGCTTTCTGTCGTGCGTTTAAAACATATATATTTTTTACCCAAACGTCATTCATTTTCATAGGTAGTACGCGTGCGAGGCTGTTTCTGACCTGGAGGGCCAAAGCCTTGCCATAATGTAATTGACGTTATGTACTTAAGATAAATTGTACTATGTGAATGTGCAGTATGTACAGTTCACAATCTGAAAGGCAATTACATGTATCTAGCTGTCATCTGTAAACAAGTAACATTTTTTTTAAATTATATAAAGAGTTACAGTAAAGTGTGATGGGTGACATCGAATGGGACTTCACTTTTGGAACATTACTCACATCATTTAATATTTGTTCACATCAGATCAGATATAAGAAATTCAGTTCAGGAACTATTTATTCTTTTTACCATTATGTTATGGAACGTTATAAATGAAACATTATGTCGAGTGAAGAAAACCCGACCACCTGATAACGAAATATCTTTGCAAACATTAAATGTATTTATCCCGTCCTTGTGATGTTTTTACTCAAGAAATACTCCCTAGATGAATCATAGTTATCAAAACCAGAGGCACCCACAGGCGAGAAATACGTGTAAAATGCTCAAGGTTCTCAGATCACGAGCATGACATAAGCGACACCTATTTTCTAGGCCAGATTGTTAAGCCCTGTACGGAGATTGTCCTTTGCAACATGCACGTATTCCTGTTCCAGATATCAAGGATCATAAACTGAAGTCTGAACTGCAACAGAAGATAAGAGCTTCCCGAGGTCGGGAGTTTTGTAATTTTATGGGTAAATTTGAGCTGGTGGAAAGTAGTGCTCGGGAATACATCTCCAAACTGGCAATACCTGCCCTTCAATGCTTCGATGACGTCCACAAAACGACCACAGACGTCGTCATCATTCTAGCAGAAATGTGTTTCGGGAAATTTCCTGATTTTGCAGAGAAAGTAAAGGTTTATATCACTTTATAATTCATTACATTACATCTGCGCACATTTCGCAGAGATACTTAACACATTGAGTAAGTGAGTATGTTAAGGATGCATGACATTGTAGTAGATACCTGGCATAAAATGTGATATGTTATAATATATTTGTATATATTCCGTTTTTGACATACATCACTTTTTACTATTATACAATTACATACTTTTTCATACTCAATTTGTTAAGCATCTACACAGTAAATGAGCGCATAAGCCTATATTTTGTAACGAATGCCTGGTATCGAACTAAAGGTACCAGTAACAAAATAAAATGGCTTTTTTTTCAGAATGGTATGCCAACTACGACAAATTCAGAAGGTGCAATTATTGATTTGCTGGCTGGGGTCAGCTGTGGCAGGTCAGATCAAGTCGAGGTAGTGTTCAGGACTGACACTGTGTTTCAGTGTTTCCATCTCTGTCTCTGTGTTCAGTTCTTCCACATTTATGTTTCAATATTGCTGTTTTCAATTTTATGTTGAATTTATTTACTCCGTTGGAACCTCGTGGAATGTACAATGTCTTCGTTCTTTACTGTGACACATTTGCCAACTCATTTGATGAATTTAGGGATTTCGTTAAAATATCTCTGAACAACATAGATCATAATGGTACTTCTATACTTATTGTTTGTTTTAAAGAAAACTGTGTGAGAGAACAAGCAGATGATATGTGAATACATAATGATGGACCAATATGTATTGGGTAATTTATGACAATAAAATAATTAATAACAATTGAAGCATTCAACATGCACAAAAAATATTCAGGTTATTACCGTCAAAACTATCACCATCAGGATAGTCTGCTGCATCAGGAACAGGTATATCATCATCATCATCACTGCCACCAAATCCCTGGTCACTTCTCGTATCCACTTATTCAGCCATTATTCAGCTACTATGCCAGCTATAAGACCCCTCGTGAATATTCTCATTCATTTTGTGAAAACTCTCAAGATCTTGAAAAATAGTCTCATAGCAATAATCAATATCCTTTCAATGGCGGTAACTTGTGGTAACTGATGAAGCATTGATAACACAATGAAAAACATTTCAAGGGAGGTAAACCCGATTTGACTGATTTGTAGCAGTAGAATATATTCAGGGATAATTGACATCGTTGTTTCTACAACTGGCGTGAATGCGGTTTGAGGATGCAGAATGAAGCAGTCGAACGTACTGTGTGGAGTTACAAACAGTGTATCGCCACTCGACAGAGATGCAGACATTTTAGGCGATGACTGAACATATGATATCTTAGCAAGGCACCGATAGTGCCCATTGTGTCCGCAATGAGCGTATGTATCGATGTTTATCAACCGGCTTATTTCAGTCACAATCTGTGTTATCCAGCTGTGCCTGATATGCGATGTTTCCTCCACCTGCAGACAACATACTTTGTACATAATGTTATTTCGTTTTCTACATGTTTCAGGACGTTATCATGACGACAAGGAAAAAGACTCAAAACGAGTGCGCAAGCGAAATCAAGGGGTATATCAGTATGGAGAATCTGGTGTACTCACAGGATGAAACATACAGGAGCCAATTACGTTAGTATAGATAAAGGACAAACAATGAAGATAAAGAGGGGGCTTCCGAAACAGGGCCCTTATTCTCGAAACGTTCGTAGCCCTAAGAATTCTTAAGTTTGATCGTAGCCTATGTGTTAAGAAAGGGCTTAAGAAGCTCGTAGGGCTATGAACGTTTCGAGAATAGCCAGCCAGTTGTTTACTGTAAAAGGCGAGTGGGTGGTCGGGCGTGCTGACTTGGCTGATGTATCATCCTATCTGCAAAGGTGGATGCTCATGATATGGTCATGAAAATGGGTGGTCACTAGAATTTAGCGTAAGACTCGATACATTACAGCCCCCAAGAATATTAGCAAGGGCGACGTTTAACAACAGACATGTACTGATACTTCAACACACTGAATAGCCAGGAAATATAATTATGAATGTATTGAATGCCTATGTAAAGGGTATGTTATTATGCAAAATAATGACAATATTGAACAAATAGAATTTGTTCAATATTGTAAGTCCCAACTTCTGAAATGCCACTCAAAGAAGAAAGAATAATGACATCATAACATTTGCCGGCCTTTCAGTTGTATAAATATTTCTGAATATATTTGACTTGCTTCTGCATATCCAACTAAAAAGATGTAGAAGCAGCCACGCTTGTAGTATGCTATTTATAAACACGTGCTCATAGACTTGAGCTTGGGTTATTTACTTTGTTACTCTGGCTAAGTAAAACGAAACAACATCTATATTCATGTGTGGATAGTATTTGTACATATTAAAGTCAAAGATCTTTGTTACTTTCAAGAAGGAGCTGTCCAAAGAATCTTGATCAAATTTTGCTTTTTGTGAATGTGTTTTCTAAACTCGCTGTGTCTTATCAATAACATGTTAACTAAACGTTGTCGGAATGTATTTATTTATTTAGGTGCTCAAAAGCTCGCTTGGGATGATGATCAGTGTACGCGAATGTGCAAACTCAAACATGACACCTGTGAAACAAACCAGCGTGTTTTTCATCTATACCTATACATATTTGTCACAAGTTAATGTATTCCTAGAGCTTAGCTTTGTATTCCGTTCTAGGAACAGAAGAAAAGAAGAAACTGAAGGAAACTGCGGAAGAAGGGGAATGTATTACATTGTCAAGAGCATTCTTGCAAAGTCTGTATAGTCATCAGATAGGCACTGGCGAAATGAAATTCGCCTTTAATACATCCGATTATATTGCCTGCTCGCATTGCGACAAACACTCGTGTACCTGTATTGATGGGTATGCAGTGGTGAGCGTTTACCCATCATGCCATACAACTTCCTCTTTTTCTCGGCCATCAGACGTGTTTTCTCCGACAATCGCTCAAAACTGAATATCGGTAAACATGCACAATCTAATTGTGACTTTACCCTTTCATATGTATTTCTGTGTTTCACAGGGCCTGTAACCGATGAAGATGTAAATGGTGTCAACAAAGCACTGATGAGTCTAAAATCCTATTGTCAGGTACAGTGTTCTATCAACCTAAATTACATTTCCCAAAAGACGTCAGAGACTCAATACGTGATATAGCTCCTACTTGATAAGACATTACATTATGAGACTATACTGAAAGTCAGGGTCAATTTGTTTAGAATTAGGAATTATCAGCATAATATGTTAGGTCACACGAAATATGGAACAACTAATACTTTTTAGAATGATTCTGACACACAGTTTAAACTTTAAATTTTGTCAGAGACATGATAATATTTTTAAGCTATGTCGTGATATACTAGTATCTGAGGATATAAACGTAAATGTTAAGTGAACATGTTTCGTTTTTATATATCCTGTGAATTTTTTATTTTTTTTCTAAAATAAGCTTAGTATTTTAAATAAGTTCTATCGTCATCAATCAACAACTAAGAACTTAAATAGCGCAAGAATCCAGTCAATATAACTGCTTTAAAGCGCTTATTTTACAAGTCTCAGTTATAATAGCAGGTCATTCCAGAGTCGTGGAGCTGCTCTGGCGAAGGATCAATCTCCATAGGTGGTGGCCCCTGCGTGTGGAATAGCAGGCCTTGTCCCATGTCCTAGCACCTTGTTCGTTCATTCAATGTCGCTTTTTGTGACATTTTAAATTCTTGAATAAATATCATAAATGCATATTTTCGCGTTTCATGTTACTATATACTTCGTGTGCTCAAAAAAAAGAGAAATATTGTTTTCTGTACAACAAGTTTTATGTTTCAGGTTGCTGCACGACGTCTCTGTGACGTCATCCCCATGATCATACAGATGCAGGTGTTCCAGAAGAAGGTGAAGAGCATGCAAGACTTGCTGATTGGCCTTGTTTCTGAAGAAGAAAACACTGACCTTATCCATGAAGAAGAAGACATGGCATATAAGAGGAGAGAAACCAAGTCCCGTTACGACAGACTCTTAAAGGCGGAGAGAGAGCTTGAAAAAATCTAGCTTCCATCAGAACAAAACAGACCTTTCATTACGCGCAGACTGGGATACTAGGCATAGGAGGTGAAAGTACACAGGTTGATGGGATGGTTTACATGGAAGTTTGTACAATTTCCATGAAGGTATTACAAAATATTCATAGTTTGTTTTAAAACACTTATTGGTTGACAATTGAACAATTGGTTAAATTTTAAGACTTTGGGTTTTTTAACATAATGGTTCGGGATATGTGTTTTCCCATTTTGTTTGAAGAAAGGGCAGACAAAAGGTAATGAAATTCATCGCCAGCATCACATATATCGCAGAGATTACACATTCTTTCTTCAGGTGGGAATTTATGCCACCTGCCTACTTCTATAGGTAAATCATGGCAGGAAGTTCTCAACGAGAGTAATTTAAGAACCAGTGAGAATGGGATGCCAAATATTTTTCAAGTTCAGTTTTGAATATGAGATAAGTGGAAGAAACATTTAGAAGAATTCGAAATCTCCGTGCCATGTTTGAGTTGCTAAATCATATTACCTTAAGGAGATAATAGATTTAACTTCAATGTGAAAGACAGCTTGTTTACCCAGCCAGTAACAGCTATAGTCAGTTTCATTAAAACGTCTTCCACAGATTTTATCCAGTTTTGATTGCTATTGTTTATACAGGCTTTATTTATATAACATTTGTCAATCTCTGCTCTCTTCTTGTTTCTGTCACTACTTATTATTGCCCTTGCCATCCATTTTAGCGTGTTAAATTAAGGATAAGTGGCAATTATTCGTACTTTTATGCGGTTATGGTTAGGGGTATGGCCAATTGTATTAAGACGGATAAAGCTCAACTATGACAAGAACCGATGACATTTTCTTTTTGAATGAAAGATTGAGACTTTAAGCAATGTCCAGTTTTAAGTAATGTCCAAAGAGTTAAATATGATTTTGAGTAACATTTCATGTTATATGTTATCAAATCTGCTTAACATTTAAATTAGTTTCAGCGTATATAACTTGGATGTCTGAATATCAGTAATATGGCAAAACCACAGCATCCTGTTTCCCTGCGGTTAAGAATCATACATACTCAAAGTACGCTACAACGTTCCCTGCCTTATCCATAGTAGGGGTACACGTACAAAGGCGCGTACAACGGGATCAGTATATGACATGTAGCAACAATCAATTCCATCTTTTGCATTACCAGTTGCGCGTTTCCAGTCTGAGAACGAAATACGAGAACGTGGAGAATTTGTAACTTTTAATCTCATGGCTCGAAATTCAGTGGGCCAATGCCATTACCTGTTTGTCGTCCACCTGTATTATGTCGTAATCCACTTCTCCTCAGAGACAGTCCCTCGTATTGTGACCTTTCTTCAGATGTTGGCGGTTTATTGCCCCTTTTTATATTGTATTGTTCTGGTAGTAAACTTTTAGATATAAATGCTAGTTTTACATTCTGTATCTATGAAATGCTAGTGTGTTTTTGCTGTCAGGTGCTTATTATCTAATTGTATTCATTATGTTTTAGAACTTGTGCTAGTCACGATATGGGTGAATACTGCGCATGTGACTTTACATTTTCACTCACTCACTCACTCAGGAACCACTCGATCAATGAGGTATCACACGTGTGTTCATGTCAATGATTGCACACTCATTTGTTCGGAAAGTTATATTTCAATTTACCACAACCACTACATTGAAAGCGACAGTTAAGGTCATTTCTGAGACATTTTGTAATGCTGTATGCTTTCCGACTATGTAATACTGACTGGCGGTGATACAATTACAGTACAGTTTTAATCGTTCACTCACTCACTGACTGTTAAATTTCAACACGGGCGTGCCATTTTGTGTTATTTCGTTGGGTTATTTAAATTTTGATCTAGTTCAAAATGCGACTGTGCTCTGCTCTAAAACTCCTTCTCCAATACAAATACCAGCATTGTGGAATTTGGCACGTACGTTTCCTCTGAAATCAATGTATAAACTTACTAGTTACTAAATATAATCCTATGAATTTAGTGAGAGAATATTTGAAACTGTTTTTAAATGTCATTTATATATTTGACTTCATACAGTGCTTTGCACTAACCCTTTCTCTTCCCAGTGCTCCTTTCACTCCTTATTTATCACCCTCCTGACTTTCAACCAAAAACGTAACATCCAGTTTTATGTTTGTTTAATTTCTACCACTATATTACGGTTTATCCAGCTGATAAATGGGATATACATATGGACATCTTACTAAATCTGCATCTAAACAATCCAAGTCCACTCTTGATCGAGATCATTATCATCCATCATATATCAGCTTAAATTCCGCTTGTTCTTTGGCGCAAAAGGCTAGAACAGAATTGTGCAGATAAATGTGTCTGAATACATCAATACATCTATTAATATTTTTCTGGTGTGGATTTTTTTTTTGCGTTTGGAAATAACTTGAAATAAAATGTTTTATCTTCACATCATATGTTGTTTATGTATCTGCGGACCTTTCTCTAATATGAACATTATTTGGGTAAAATGTCTCTTTACATTTATTTCTTTGTGTTGCTCTTCATAGCTGTGTATGAATATAATAAATGCAACTGAAGGCAATACCCGACAATAGCTTACAAATGCACGAGAAGATCATACAGCCCGCTTACAGACCTATCTCTTTATCGTCCCATGAAATACAAAACAGGAACCTAAAATAACACTGGTTCACTGCAGAATGATCAACTGTAGATAATGTTGCGAAGTCAGTTATTCTGCAGTTCAAGAAACTGTGATCAACGAGTACTTCCAAATGATGGCGAATCGGATCTTTACCAGAAATAATACAGCATTAGATAAAGTTTTACACCAAGTTCATAGACACATCTGACTCATTACCAGCAAACTATGTGGTGTGGGACACCCACTACGGGACAAATACCTCACGATCTGGAGATCCATCAAAAAGATGGGTTTGCGAAATAGTTCCAGTGACAGCATTGTCAAAGTATTGACGGGTAATTTTGCTTTCATCCTTGAATCGCCAATGATATAGCATGAACTCTCCAAACACGGGTAGGTCGTATGCATTTGTCGGGCTGAATACTCGCCAGTGACCCTCGTCATTTCCTATATGAAAATACTTTAATCATTATATAGACTGTCGTAGTTTGATTAGTCGGATTACTCTTCCTCACGCTCTTTTGTTTTGATGGATGAATGCGAATGTTGTCATTTTTAACGAGGAAAGACAATTTTCAACTGGCCTTGTGTCATAAAGACCAAACACAGATATACCCAATACGATCCATGTATGTACATGTATATATTGAACGAACATACCCGTGAAGGTCAGGGTTAGAATAGTGATCTTTAGTAACCCATGCTTGTCGTAAGAGACGACTAACAGGATCATCGGTTCCCAGTTGCGCAGATCGATGTTCATGCTGTTGATCACTGGATTGTCTGGTCCAGACTCCATTATTTACAGACCGCCGCCATATAGCTGGAATATTGATAAGTAAAACTAAACTCACTCACTCACTATTGAACGAACAATTATGTGCATGTTTTAATCAGCATAACACATTCAGTGGACGTTATGGAGTTAACAAACCCTGCATTTGTCTCATTTAAACAATATTATCTTTGGCTACCAATGACGAACAATAACAAACTCTGCGTGATACTGTTTTACGATAAGTCAAAAGACGAACCAAATATTATCCAGATAATACAGGAACTCAAACCCGAACTTTGACAATCTTATGGTAGCCACTGGTGTTCTAGATATACGTTCTACTGTAAATGTATTTGACGCTTATCTTCACGCAGTGAGGTGTTATTAGTAAAACCGTAACACGACACTTTATCTTGACACGTTCTTTGTCAAGATCTGCGTATATATAACAGGAGCACCATAACGCTCAGGTGTCATCACCAAGTAGCCGAACAAATCTTGCCTTTGAACCCTGGGATCAGCTATCTTGCCAGGAGTTGCACAGTGATGATAACACAGCGGACATTGATGACCTCACCCTGGATGTATACATGCGGATTTATTAGTAGAATTTTTTCCTTGACATTGATCTGTGTAAATGCAGTTTTCTATCCGTATTGTGACAGTGTATATGTAATACAGATGAGTAATTAACCAGACAGCGCTTAAAAGCACAGTGCTTAAATATATCTTTCAGTTTGATAAATCACTGAGACGTGTTTCAATGAAATGTGTTTGCCACCTCGAGAATTAAGGATTTGTGAACGCATTGCTCATGTTGTATCGTTAAATATTTCTGTGATGGTCGGATAGCCCAGTTGGGCTAACATTGCTTGTCACACTGTAGTCCTGGGTTCTATTCCCCACTCGTGTGAAAATGTATGAAGCCATTTTCCTGTGTCCCCGAGTGAGTTCCGTTTTACGCCGCACTCAGCAATATTCCATCTATATGGAGGTGGTCTGTAAATACTCGAGTCTGGACCTGACAATCCAGTGATCAACAACATGTTCACTGTGCATCGATCTACGCAATTGGGAACCGATGACATGAGTCAAGTCAACGATCCTGACCACCCGATCCCGTTAGACGCCTCTTACGACAAGCATGGGGTACTGAAGGTCAATTCTAACCCGGACCTTCACGGGTGGCTACATTTCATAAATCGCCAGGTTACCTACATCGTCATGATAGTGTAGCTGAACGAGTAAGGTTTCCTGTGTGGTAATAATGACGTATCAAGACGCGGAATACATAGCGTGGCGCCCACACCTTGTTGTGTTGAGGTACTGATGTGCCGACGTTGAAGGGACTTACGTACATAATCCGAGGATCGACACTTCCGAAAAGTGATGACAAAGCACGGATTACAAACAGGAAAATCTTTTATTTCAAGACAGCTCGACACATCGATTTTTGGCAATGATATTTGTTATGGGCATGCTAAGAAATCTGGCATTGCTGACATGTTTTTGAACGTCTCCGAGATTTGTGAAAATGGGGATAGATTAAGTTTTATACCGTACAAGAATTGGGACATTCGCACAGCCAAATACACGGGTACACTCATGGTATCTGAATTGCCAAAAGCTGGGCTTAGTCCTGCTTACAGTCCTCTTGGCAGTTTGTGGTGATGTTCTACTGGACCCGGGTCCTAACCAGGCCGGTCCTCCTGTAACTCGTCAAACTAAGCTAGTTGGGGGTCCAGAAACTGCTGCAGAAAAGTGCACTGACGAACATTATAAACGTACTAATGGATATTAAAAAGAGGTTAGTGGAACAAACGAGCGTGTTACACACATTGAAAGTAACTTTGACAAGATGGCGGCACACGTAGACGAAGCGTGTGACAGATTGTCAAATGAAAACAAATGGTAACGAAAAGACTGATTAAATATGGCTCTATGCCGAATTTAGCAAATATTCCAGCAATACCACGGCAGAACACATCAGAAACCCAAATGGGGAATCGAACCCATGACGAGCGAACACTTTAACAACTAGACTACCCCACCGCCTGGTTAGGAAAAGAATTAATGGACACGTGTGATAGGCATGGAGACCTAGATTGTCGACCCCCGAGAAACAGTCTCGTATTTCATGGTATAGAAGGTGACAAGAACGAAACGTATGAAGTGAGCAGAAGGTCAGGAGTTTCAAGTAAGATACCCTATACATCGAAGTTTCAGACAAATTCTTAATCACAAAGGCGCATCGTCCTCCATCTTCAAAACACAAATCTGCAACTCTGAATCAACATGGATGTTAAGAAAACTAACATACTTAAATAATTTACAGAAGTTTACGAAATGAACTCAAGAACACATTTAAAAGAACAAAGAAGAATATATTGATAATCAAAACACATTATTTGTAAATGCCAGACATGACCTCAGATCATTCTGGAAAATCCTTAGACGAGAAAACAACTGATTTTGGTACAGTTGACGGTAAGCAATTGTTTTGTTTGAGGTTACATATTAAGCAATATGACAGCATTAGGCATCACTGAACACGTATCACATCTTAAATAAAACAGAGTAGTGTATGTGTCTGCACATGAGAGTATCAAACTCCGCGACAATAAGCAAAACTTTAGACAGGATGTCTTCTGTAGGGATAAACAATTTCAGCACGTTAAGTAGGATTCAAATAAATATTCTGTAACCACTTAAAATGAAATTATCTATACACCATACTTGAATGGTTAGACGTCGTTTTAACCGCCAATTCAAAAAGCAGAATGTCATCATTTATTGACATTGGGTCTTTATCCGTCTAAAAACAGTACAAATGGACTTTCAACACAATATATATGGCAGAAACAATGTAAGTGCCAGGACTGACATTGATCAACACTAAATATTGTCCAGTTCTCCTTCCGCCAGAAGCAGTCTTTGGTGACGAGACTTGCATTCATTCCTCATATAAGCTATGTCTGGATCTTCCTGGATGTGTACCATGGTTCTTTCATCCGAAGCAATGTCCATGAGCAGGATCCGCATTTCCTCGACCTGTTCCCGGAACACGTGCAACTGTATGATCATGGGGATGACGTCACAGAGACGCCGTGCAGCAACCTGAAATATTTGAACATTCAGAAAACAATCATCTCTCTCCTTGACAACATGAAATAACTACATGAAAACTATAACATACACTTAATACATTCATTTTGTACATGCAAATGAATACTGACAAAATTCCCCAGCCGAAACATAACAAGCAGCAATTACACTTTAGACGTTCTCTTATGCCAACATAAAAGTCGAAAACAAATAAATTGTTACTTGTATATGTTTTAATAATACATTACACATCTATGTCTATTGTCATTAACAGTATAAACACATCCCTATTCACATCTCAAACCAAAAATCCTTTTAAATTTTGGGTACGTTGTAACTATCTGAGATGAAATATCATGAGATGAAACTAAAATAAATCCCGAGGATCTTTTGTAAGATCTATAGAAAGCTATTCTCTCAAAGACATCATGGTACAAGATGAATCACAAACTATTAGGTGCGGACCTTTCATACACGGGATGAACCTGCAACATCACAAATTGATAGCTGTTTTCTAAAACGTTTTCCAATATATGTTGCTCAGCATGTCCTATTACCGAATCTTTGCATGATTTCAACATCGAGATAAAATAATATTCTGTCCCCATCCTCCAAATTGTTAAATAGTTTGTACCTTAGAGCAACTGAGCTTTTTGTTTTTGATTCTTTGATAATGTTTTTTCTTAATCTTCAATATCTGAAGGGGTGTTGTAAATCCAGCTCGAGTCCATGCAAGTGACAAAGGCACTGTAAGTCCCCATGGCCTCAAGCATGGTGAGCTGCCTTCAGTTGTTGGCGATCAATAGCTCATTTGTATATTGTCTTGTTGCATGTGTAATTATTGCTTTATGGTTATATGCTAGATTCAGGTCTTAATCTGTTATAGTCTAGTTATTTTACTGTCCATCGATGACAGATTTGTTTATCATATTGTATCCAGTATTTTATATCAAGTTTCTCGTCACGTTATAGCAGAAATATTGCCCTTGTGACATTTACTTCTAACTCACTCTGCTTGTAAATAAACACAGAATGAAGAAATGTTACATGTTAAGAAACGCCTTTGGACTTTGTAATCGGGGTGTGTGTGATTTGTTTGTTTGTTTTGTTTGTTTTCTATTTTATTTGTTGTTGTTGTTGTTGTTGTTGTTGTTTTTGTTTGTTTGTGTGTGTGCGTGCGTGCGTGTGCAAACTTTGTCTGGTCGCTGTATTGCTTGAATAATGCCGATAAGACGTAAAATACTAACTCACCACTCACTCACTTAGAACAGCTCTCTTTAGCAAACCGAATCATACTACTGCGCTCAAACTGAGTGATCTCGACCTTAAGTATCTCCTTATTGCACGTCCTAGATAGATTTTGTCTGGTTGTTGTGTAACGCAAGGTTTTCTAGACATAAGTATATCTGGTTTAAAGTATTTAAGATCTGTAGAGAAACACAGTTGCGTGAGAAGTCATATTCGAGAAATGCATCAGCATGAAAACCGCAAAGAGTGTTATCCTAGCTCATATAAGAATGTCCATCTCTGATTGGTTCACCTGACCTTGAACAAAGTACCCTGTTGCCCGATCCACGGCCGTAGACCTCCCAACCGCGATATGAATCTTTGCGAGAGAGAATAAATCATTCATGCCCCGCCCCATGGAAAAACGCACGCATCCACGGCAGTCAGTGAAACGAACCAGTGGTTCGAAACGAATAGTCGGTACGATGTTAGCAAAAGATATGATTGGATTTCAGTTTGCTTTAATGTTATATTTGCATAATGAGAAATTTAAACATTGGGTAAAATATATTTGTTGTAGCATAATGAATAGGGGTATCGGGGGTTTTATGCGTCCCTTGGGGCGGTTGGGCAACCCCGTATACCCCTCATCACAATGCTACAGCTTATAATATTCTGTATTGTACCTCAAAATAGGATTGTAGACTTATCAATGCCTTGCCGACACCGTTCACATCGTCATCGGTTACACGGACTGAAATATAGAAACAATCAGTGAAAACATAACTTCTCCAAAACACAATTATATTGACACTATGTATGTATAATATTATGTTATTATCTGCAATATATAGTATCTTCAGGAGCAGCTTAAACGACACCGGTGAAAATCCGGTACAACTGGTCTCCAGCAACCCATGCTTGTTGTAAAAGGCGACTAACGTGATCGCTTGGTCAGACTTGGTTGACACGTCATGGTGTCAAACATATATTATTTACAGACAGGCGTCAGGTAGCTGGAATACTATAAGGGTAATGCTATTTTTGAGGGCATTATCATTTGCAGAAGCCCGCGGTCTTGCATTAACTTGCAGTTGAAAAAGACCGAGGGCTTCTGCAAATGATAATGCCCTCAAAAATAGCATTACCGTTATTATTGATAAAATACATGGAATTTGTGTTGAAAAGAAAAAGGAAACAATGAAGGAATTTGACTGTAAGTTTACTCAAAATCAACTTCTGACGGGGTTGACTGCCCGAATGCTATTACGTCATCGAACAATTCAAGTGACGTCACAACAGAAAGTGACGATATTCGACCTTGGCCTTTGACAAGACCATAGTCTGCAACATGTCAAACAGTGTCAGTGTTCGGTTTTGGTCCAACAACAACGTTAATAGTGCAATTGTTGAGGTTAGCACCAGCAAGAAAGCCAATATTACCGCTATTTAAAGCTTTGACTTGTTTGACCCAGAATATCTGCCAGTCCAAAGCCAATGTCGAATGAACCGACGCACCGACTATGACGTCAGTTGACAACAAAACTGATAGTGGCCCGTCGTTAAGGTTGAGCGGTCCAATATCATTTGCAGCGGCCCTCAAATTTCTGATAATGGGAGGGCCGTTTCATGATAATTCCATGTATTTTAGCTATAATGCTGATTATGGGTTTAACCAAGAAACAAACAAAGCCTGAAGGATAACTTTTCTTCTATACCCTCAATATCTCTATATCATACAGCTGGGATATTTCTGATTGTGGATTTAACCAACGACCAAACAAAGCCTGAGGGATTATTTTTATTCTATACCCTCAATATCTCTATATCATACAGCTGGAATATTTCTGTTTGTGAATTTAATCAACAAACAAACACGTGCCCCTCTGGAAGGATTTCATATTGGCGCATCAGAACTACTTTAAACAGGAACAATAACTCTATTCTTATTTAATTCCAATGGTACTTAAGATCACCGAAGTAATCATACATCGTATTGCTGTTTATGTTTTTAAACAATTAAACCTTTTTGATACAACTAAAAGAAGGAGAGAAACATATTTGTTAAAAACATATTCTGACGTAATTATTACCAGATGTTCACCTTATATTTCTAAATAGGGTTTGATAATCGCAAATGGGATTTGTTTCATTAAATATGTAAATAAAATTGATAAAAGCCACATTAAATCTCAAAGCAGAAACTAAAAATGACTCTAAAATATTTCTCAAGCTGAACATTCGTGTAACCTTGCTGTCATACCCCAAGTGGAATTTTAAATGAATTCGCTGCAAAATATATGAATGACCAAAAAAAAGTCAGACTAAAATATTCTCAGAGATGTGAAATATATGCCCAATGTTAAAAATTAAAGTTGATTAGTTACATGCAGATTTATGTCTAATATTTTTGTTTTGAAACTCGTAGCGATTTATAATTACATTTCCTAAAATTGTTGGAAGCGCACGTACAATCTCCATAGCAAGCCCGCAAGATCGTCAGATATACCCTCAGTTGGACCCATGAGAGCCGTTATGTCAACAAACGCAGGTGCGTGTATTTGAATCTCTCACCGTCAATCTCATGGTTCTTATAAAAAAAATCATACTAGGCAGCAAAGTCCTGTTAGCTAAGTTCTTTGTACTTTCAATATGACGATATATATTTTTCATGATTTTTTAAACAATGACATAATGCAACAAACTATTTAAGTACTCGGGATTATTTTTACCAAAGCACCGCAGTCGTATACGCGCGTTCTGATTGGTTTGTCGTATTTTCGCACATAACAAGTATCGATAGGGGGACGAGTCTTCTTGGAGGTTACGGAAAGGGGCGAGTGGTGACGAATGGTTTACCTCAGGACAAATGCTTCTGTGGCCAAAATATCATGAAGTATGATTAGAAGCCCGATAAAGGGAAATACCTGCGTATAATAAATACGCGCTCCTACTGTCACATCCTGTCGCATACGGGATGCGCACAAACCACGGTATCCAACCTCTTTAATTCAGTTTCACATTAGCAATTGTGTCTGAAATATGCAAACGTTCCTCTAAACCGGGCCATCTGCATTGCACGAATTATGTGTGTTTGTTGTTGTTTTACGTCACTGTCAGCAATATTTTATCTGGATTTTTGTCGCCAAAGACATATATCCAAGTGAGATAATTCCGTGGACCTACAACTTTCTCTATATTTGATTGGTAGAAGCTTATACAAGGTGAAATGTAAACACATAAAATATGAAGCCTAATTGCTGTACATTGAAGCCCAATTGAGTTTAACAAGCAAGATAAGAAGTGCTAATGGGTGATTGATATGGACAGACTGATTGGATGCCAGTATTATGATGACTATGATTTACAAGTTTGTGATGCACGCACACATACACGCACGCACACATACACATGGGTCTGTTTGGTTTTGTCAGGCTTTTTCCACTTTTGCCTCAAGTGCACACTCATGCACACGCACGCATACTTAGAAATGTTTTGGGCCCTTCGCCTATTTTCCTCTTAGCGTGTAGTTTTTTTTAGATGACTCGTGAATGTTCGGATCAGTGTTTATACGATGCACCTTTGTATATTCAGAAGTTTGCTTTCAACTTTCGGGGGTAGATAATTGTCGATGGTTTTCAGCAAGGCGAAACTGCATGCGCGGAGGTTTGTAATAATTTGGCTGCGGAGGATATCGATGGAATTGTATCCCTGGTTCATCGTATCAACTTGTAAATTCCTTCAAAGCTGTTAAGTAGCTGTTTATTATATCAGATATGCGATTTTGATACCATGTATATGATATCGTAAAATGTATATAATGTTTACATTTTTACATATTTCAGGACGTTATAATGAAGACGCGGAAAGAGACCAACAGTGAGTGCAAAGACGAAATACAGAGATATTTCGAGATGGAGAATCTGGTGTACTCGCAGGACAAAACCTTTGGCGTCGAATTTCGTGAGTGGTCAAATCGAATAATGCAATCATTCCAATAACAGCCCCATCAGAGCATACATGTATTTATATATTAAGTTTGCTTTCCTCTGGATATTCTGCCGCCAATCATGTACATGATTTAAGGGAAAAGTTTCGTAGATTTTTGTCTTGGCTCCTTATATAATGAATGATGAATCGGACTTCATCTTTAAGGTTCCAAGTTAGTATTCGTATGATTGATAATAAATCACTTATCAAAATCTATGTGTTTAAACATTCTCACTGCTCACCTTCTTTAGAATAATATATGAAAGAAATGAGCTTATTAATAAAATTCAACATACAATATCTAAAGCTATATAATTTTTTTTATTATGCCTCTAGACGAATAATATGAGGTACAAATGATTTTACCATTTCTTCATTCCGTATTATTTCTGAAGCTTTTGGATCTATTCCTGTGATAACATTCATAATCTATGGTTATGTTCAAAGATGGGAATGTGAAGGTATAATTCCAGGCAATATTAACACTCTTCCAGTTTTGTCACTGCCGAAAGCAAAACACACACGCGCGCGCGCGCACGCACGCACGCACACACACACATATCTGGTAATGGTACTTGTGTCTGCAAGCCAACGATTAAGATAGCCACGTTCGGTCCATCACAGTTAATGAACACTGACTGTAGTCATATTTATCCGCTCTAGGAACAGAGGAGGAGAAGAAACGAAAGGAAGAAGAGGAGGAAAAAGAACGGAAACAGAAGAACGCGGCCAAATATCATTATCAGATAGGTACTAGAGTATTTGATAGGGCTACCGTGAAAGAGGGTTCCATTTAAGACATTAGACTGTGTTGTCTGCTTTCACCCTTTCATGTTGATCAAACCAATACATGCAGTGTTGTTATAACATATTTAAATGTAAATGTATTCACAGTAATAAATCTTAAGCATATAGCATTTGTTTAAACACTCTACTCTTGTAATATGTTCCACAGCATGATACTGAATATACATATAGACATAACTTTCATTTAACTTTTGGATATATACGTCTTGTTTTCCCACGAGTGTTTCATGTTTTAGATTCAGTTTCTGAAAATGACGAAGAGGTGAACGGTGTTGACAAAGCATTGATGAGTCTTAACTCCTATTACCTGGTACATTGATACGTGGTTTTCGATTTCGATCGCCCTGGGTATTTTTTTCAACATTTGCCAGAGATTTGCCAGTTGGAAATGAAGCATTCTCGTTTCTTTCAATACCTGTTATGTTAAATGTCAACGTTATTCATATGTTAAATATTTTAGTAAATCGCAGGATGGGATATCCGTTCCGCCAGATTTGATACACACTATACTCTACCCTAACAGGAGCTGACGAATTGAAATAATTTTCCCAACACACATATGGGAGGACATTTATGAAATGAATTATTATTATTATCTCAAACAACCCAACCCCACCCCAGCACCATGATACCATTTGTAATCTGACCGTCACTGTTTTTTCCATATTTTTCCGTATGTTAAGGTCAAGCATACGATATACCTTTCCTTTAAAAGGCCATGTGTAACATTTCATAAAAATTTTCATGTATTCGTTGATGACTAATTCAAAATATCTTTTCACACTGTCAGCTGCAATAAAGTTTGAGGAACACGTATGCATTCCTTTAAATTCAACGCATTTGATAGTTTTCATGTAGTTATTTCATGTAATCAAAGAGAGAGAAGATTGTTTTCTAAATACCAATCCATGTGTACAATTGTTTCAGGTTGCTACACGGCGTCTCTGTGACGTCATCCCCATGATCATACAGCTGCACGTGTTCCGGGAACAGGTGAAAGAAATGTAGACCCTGCTCATGGACATTGCTTCGGATGAAAGAACCATGGATCATATCCAGGAAGATACAGATATGGCTTATATGAGGATTGAGTGCAAGTCTCGTCACGAGAGACTGCTTCTAGCGGAAGAAGAGCTGGACAAAATCTAGCGTTTATCAATGTCAGTCCTGGCACTTTCATTGTTTCTGTCATATTTATATTTGTCTTTGTAATTTCTTTAATTCAAAAACATGCTTTGATACAGTCGCAATCGTACAAAATAGTACAATGCACTTTATTCAAACAACAATGACAGGAAACGACATCTTGGTTTTTCATTGGACAATTGAAAAATGTTCTGGTCAACATATTGCACACAGATTCCAGTTGGGATATTTATTGCTTTTCACGCTAAGGGATATACTAATTATGTGTTTGTTTATGTGTTCGTTTAAAAACGTTTCTTTATTGGATTATGAATTCCTAAATATCAGGGATGTAGCTACCGAAAGCGGTGCCTGAGAATCACACAAACGCAAAAAGCTCTCATATTATTTTCCTGACTTATCCGAAGTATCCGATGCTTATTCAGTGATGAGTAATCACTTTAACGGAATTTTCTAACATAACGGATGAAAAATGGTAAAGTTTTAATATCTGCTCATCTGAAAGAATTGATGTGTGCTGATGTTATTCGTCCGTTGTTTTTCCGTCCACGTACATTTACCACTGTCTGACTGGACAGCACAACACAGTAGCACTGTTACCTGCCATAGAATAAGTTTCAAATGTTAGTCATTTTTATGCCCTCGCCATATATGGCAGGGGCATATAGGGTTACTCTCGGTGTCCGTCCGTCCGTCCGTCCGTCCGTACGTACGTACGAAACAGGGAATGTATTCAACTCTGATAAGACCAAATGTGATGTCCAATGATCAACTGCTACAGACTGACCTGAAATACGCTTGATACTATGTATGTGTAGAGTTACCTAATTTAATATCTAATATTTAATTACCATCTGTGTCAACTTATTACATGGAGTGGTATTTACTTAAGCAAGTTTTGCTTTTCTTCGGAAATAAAACATATCAGTAAACTCCAGTCCAGATTAATCTAATCTTATAGTTTGCTCCACTTACAATCCAGTTGGACCTTGAACGGGCAACTCCCGGGCTCTTACGCCATTTTATCTGTTTGTACACATGGCAACAAATTAATGTTTTACTATTATTATTTTTATTATTATTATTATTATTATTATTATTATTATTATTATGTGATAATTGTATATGTAATATACCTATCAGTATATTATATCGTGCTAATTATAGAAATAAAACCTGATCTGCCATCTGAATATAATTTTGAGGAAACACATCTTGTTTTGTTAAAACACGGTAACCTGTTTGAATTACTAACCATGTTTTGACAGCATAGCCGAGAGAGCCACATTCCATGTTCACGCAACCATCAATTTCGGCTGTCTGTTTCGGAAATATGGATCTCCCGGCCTGTAACCGTTTAAACCAAGCTTCATATATCACGTTAACGTTATCGACGAGTGAACCGTCCTTCGCGTTCCCCAATCGCAACCACCAGCGCATCGGATCGTGAGAAATTGCAACAAGTGCACTGGTTGTTAAATTTGTTCTAGGAAACATGAATGTGCCTGCGTATTGTGACGCCGTTTTCAATGTAATCGGCTATTGAATTGTGTACATACTTGCATGTAGTATTGTATATTTTAAATGTGCTGATAAATAAACTGATAAACCTCATCACAAGAGTATTTATGTCCATGTGATACCTAATGTTGAATACTATTGCACATTACTATTGGGGGTAGGGGGTGGGGGTTCTTACTTGTAGAACAAAAGAAGAAACTGCTATCTAACAAACGGAACCTGAAACAAAGTAAAGAGTTCTCTAATGTTTATATCGACGCTACGCTGTCTCATCAAAAACTCGCATCGAGAGCCAACATGCAGACGATTCTCAATGAGCATGGGAAATCCAAAGCTTTCAAATTCCATGGAACCGACTGGTACTAGCAAAGCCTAAAGACTAGGGCATTTTTCGGGTGGGATTCTGGAATGTTGGCGGTTGGGCGCAGAGGGACAAAGGTAACCGTGAATTCAGAGAAACTGTTTTATTGAACCTGGATTATGATGCTGTAGGTGTATGTGAGACGTTCCTACTGGGGAACTCGTCATTGTCTCTCCCTGGCTACACTTGGTTTGGCAGTAACCGACGTAAGACACATCACCGAGCTAAACGAGGTTCTGGAGGGGTAGGACCGTTTTTAAAAAACAGTAACATAGTTCTTTTAGAGAACTGCGACGACGATCAGCTGTAGTTTAAGTTATCATCAAAGTGTGATAGTGAATTTAGTATAGTGTTGTGTGTTGTGTGTTTGCTACCTGCCACCTGCATATTCATCACGTATAAACGATGGAGAAATTTTTGTTCAACGTCTATTAGAGAACCTATACACATACCAAAACGATGGTGTGTTGTGCATATATGGTGACCTAAATGCGCGCGTAGGAGACGAGTGTGACTATATTCAAGAAGTGGACAAGATACCCGAGGGAGAAGTGATTGACCAGACAGTGAATGCACACGGAAGACTATTAATCGACTTTCTGATTGAAGGTAATATGTGCATGTTGCATGGGCGTCTAGGTTCTCAAGACTAAACTTTCATTAAGAATGGCGCTTCGGTAGTAAATTACGTGATAACGGCACATGAACATATGAATTATTTTAAAACCTTTAATGTGATTACCATGTCCTCAATCACCAACGGTATTGATATGCCAAGATGCTTTCCTGACCATTCTATCTTGTGTTGGGAATTGTGTGTGCCTGTGGGTAAATATGTGAAGAAAGATGATGATATAGGTAGTGGCAGTGAGTGCGACAGCGTTAGTTTTGAGTGTAAACGCTATGCCGGTAGCAACGTTACAGCATCTTTCCTTCAGGGTGACGAGGTGTTTGGTCAGGTTAATGAGGTTATTATTAAGCTTGAATCACAACTTAACGTTCAACATGATGTTAATTCAGTTTATTCAAAGTTTCTAAGTTTTATTTACACGGATTTAGACAAAGTTACAGTAGGAAAGCCTACGAGTAATAATTCAAACAGTTGTAAATCCATGTATAAACCTTATTGGTCTTCAGAACTTCAACTTCAATGGGATAAGGTCAAGGTCTCCGAAAGGGCGTAGGGGGTCTTCTCGTTTACCCACCACCTATTATTGTTCTAGTTGGGCAAATCACTGAAGCAGAATAAGCTGCTACACAATAGATGTCTCTTAGTTTTTGCTCCCCGTGAAATAAGGTCCCCTCCATCATTGTGATTCTCATAAGGTGTGACAAATACATGTAGAGAATCAAATTATCTGTGTGTTCAATACATCTATACATACATAGCATGTGAACAACTCTTCACAACAAACGCGCTAGTAGGGGTGGAGACATTTTTACTATCGTTGGGAAGTCACGAGATCACCCTGCAACAATTTACAAATAATAAATGGACAGCGAAATAATCCATTCGTATGAGAATAGTTCTATATAATAACAAATAGGTCTCAGATAATATAATTATTTTACAGGTTGCATTGATTTAAATATATTTGTAATATACAAATGAACACACTACAGTCAAAACCTTCACACAGTGTACTGAAGCAATGGAAAACGATAAACCTTACACATTTATGGAATGTAGTTTTTTATTTCCACCCTTTTGACACCTGTAAACATTTGCCACTTTTATACAGGCAACAGGTGCACTGGCTGTCAAATAGTTGACCTGCTCGTGCCATGACGCCTTGTCGTGTAGCAACCGTTGCCAGGGCGGTGAAACGCGGCATGACGTCAATAGATTTCCAGGAATATGGCTTCATGATTCTTGGAATTGTCCACTTGAATCGAACACCCAAGTATTGATTGTGACAATACACGTTGTAGGCTGCAGTGTATCTACGAATTCGTATTAACGGTTATCAAATTATATTGACTTCCCACCCCACGTGATACTGCACTGTCTTTTAATGTAATTTGTCAGTGAGCCGTCCAGCTCGCCTTGCTCAGCCATCACGTGTACCCACACATGTACCTGTGTATATAAAGCTGCAGGTTGTTGAGTAGGGATTAAATCCATACCTCTTTCACGTGGTTTACCTCTTTTGCCATTCACCGAGGACTGCCACACAATTTAGGTGGTCCATCAAATAACTGTTCATAAATCAAAAACATTGAAACGACACTCCACTGAGCAGCCACGCATTATCCCTGATTTGAACACTATCGTTTTACACTGACGCTTCTTTTTACCCGAGTTAGCTCCCTTAGACCACCATTGAACAGAAGGCGGTTCAGAAATAGAATCAGTTATTTAAATGGGAGATGAAATAAATATAGACATGATTAATTCTGAGGAAAGTAGGAGGCGGTTCGCCGAAACATTTTTGCTTATTCATTTAAATATAAGGGTTTTCCTTAATCAGCCTTAATTAGAAAGTCACCAAACAATGCTGCAGTACCCCCGTTGTCATTTCATTGTAAACTGTAAGACAGTCACCATTGTGCCAAAACTTTATATAAGAAACGCTTCAATTTTAGGAGTTTTCTTATGAAGCAATCTTATCTGCTTTGTAATTTGTCCTCAATACAGATGCAACGGCATTGGCCATTACGTGCTAATGATTGTGTAATTAACGTAGCTACACGTGCTAAGTGGCGCTAAATGCAATCTCTTACTGACATTTATTCAGTTTCCGCTATTTACAATCGTTCCACAGAGCCAAAAATTATAGTGTCGCCAGAGGGGAAAACAAAAGCCCTAGCCTCGTCCTTCGACGCTGAGGTGCGCCCCCTGATAAACCTGGTCGACGAACTACGTGGGTATGGTCTGGACAGAGATATCAACCTTCCTGCCGTCGCCGTCATCGGGGTATTTAAATGCGACACTGTTCGGATGACGCTTTTTGTATTCATCGACAAAAATCATACTTGAGTATACCTGCAAAATATGTGAAATGTAGACACCGACAATTTACACTTGAGCTGCTCGACGTGGAGGGAAAGATGGATTTTTTAAAGTGGAATTCATGCCGCTTGCTAGGCAGCAATAGTGATCTTTCTTTGTTATTGAATCTTCGGCAGTGGTAAGCGATTACTCTTATACCGAACTAATGGATGTAACGAACTGTGTTTTTTTCTTCACGGCTACTTGCTGTATATCAATGCGTGCACTACGTTTATAACGAACTAAATGTATAATTAGTGGTTTCCCTTGAGTTCTTTATAGTGAGTGAGTGAGCATGGTTTTACGACGCCTTTAGCAACATTCCAGCAACATACCAGGATGCCAGAAATGGGCTTCAAACATTTTACCCATGTGGGGAATCGAACCCGGGTGTACGACGTGACAAGCGGACGCTTTAACCACTAGGCTACCCCACTGCCCCTGAGTTATGTGTAGTTATCTATATATCTAAATAGGAAACAGGTGAAGTTTCCCTGGTTCCGTTTGTAGGTTGCTCACATTGGTACAACAGCGTAAGGGAACTGGCTTATACAACCATCATCGAGCGATATCGGTATATATGAAATTTAAGTTAGATTTCTTGATCACATTCGTTTGATTTTTCCCGTCTCGTACCCATCTCCCGCGATTCTATATATTGTGTCACGATGTGATTCATTATGTAATTAGCAGGCCAATACAGGGTTTATTTCTATAACATGATAAGTTCGATCCCCTAACACGCTCGGGTAATAACCTGTACGTCAATGTGTATAGATGTCAATACTTGGTTACAAATCTATCAAATCCTTTCACATTTCAGTATCCTGGAATCACTGGTAATATATCGTTGTCGCCTTCGCGGACTGAAACTATGGTGCTGGAGCTGTTACAGCATAATTATTTAAGGACAAACCCAACAGCAGTAAGTACGAATGTATAGAGGTTCATTACAGTAAATCTATTGATCTGTTGTTGAATCTGAATACCTATAAACTGTGCAGACTAAAGCAAATTGTTGAAGAAGAAGAGAACAATTTCTCATAATTAGGACTCCTTAGTTAATATAGTTATGTTTTAGTCTTGAGATATTTTCTTCCGTATTTGAGGCATCCAACTGACTGCATCAGCTCTGCTACTTATAACACTATACTCCTTTTTAAGGTACAAACCAGCAATCCATATTGAGCAATACCTGATATATTTAACTGGAGTGAGGGAGTGAGTATGGTTTTACGCCGCTTTTAGCAATTTTCCAGCAATATCACGGCGGGGAAAACCAGAAATGGGCTTCACACATTGTACCCAGATGGGGAATCGAACCCGGGTCTTCTGCGTGACGAGTCAACGCTTTAACCACTAGGCTACCCCACCACCCATATTTAATTGGAATGCCTGATATATGAAGTAATGGCCTATGTATGATATCCCAAGCGGGCATAACTTAATGTATAAATCCCTCGAATTCTCTTCGTGTTTGTTCTAGATAGGGACATGGTCAAGACAAACCAACATGCAACTACACAATTCTTCAACCCAGAGTCGCAGCAAGCCTAGATTGGTTGTTGTAACCAAACACGTAAGCATTGATACTGAATCTATTATCCCTTGATTTGCAACATCATGATACCACCACAGTCATTGTATCTGAGTCTCTGATATTAAGAAGCATTAGTGTTAAAACCCTATTACATTATACAAATCGTTAAAGCACGTCGGCTAAAGTAATCTCAGTCTATAAAGGATACGCTGGCGCACATTAACATACACGCTAAGGAATGCACTTGCAGTGAGTGTGGAGTGATTGATTGGGTGAGTGAGTGTAGTTTTACGCCGCTTTTAGCAATACTCCAGCAATATCATGGCGGGGGACACCAGAAAAGGACAGATTATACTATGTTGTGAATCGAACCCGAGTCTTCAGCGTGACGAGAAACTGTCCCACTGCCCCACAAAGAGAGAGTGGATGAATTAATATTTACAGTCGCATCTGCAATATTTCCGCCATATCGTGACTGGTTTAACTGGCGAATTTAAAACTGGTTTAAATTCGCCATAATTACATGTAGATTATAAAAAAGCCTGTCACAAAAGGACAGTAGAACAACTAGATTATCACAATTATGAATATAAAACTAGCATGTAACTTTAAAATATGTTAACTACAGAAAACATTACAATATAAATGAAACAGGCTATAGATTGCCAACAGCTGACGGTGGATCACCAAACAAGGGGACTTACATTCTCTTCCCACAGAGGTTACTTGTCATATCTTCCTACGAACCTCTGTTCTAATACGGCCATATTTCACGGTTCTCGTAATATCCCCTAACGGCAAAAAGTCGCGACACGAATTATCTCCCTTCTTTTTATCCAATCAGAACACGTGTTACGTCGACTTAGATCCAGCTTGACTAATACAAACAAATGTGGGGCCACAAATGTCCCCCATTTGCAGGGAATTGTGTTGATGTGACACACAAGACATTTATAGGCTAGCGTGTCCGTTGTCAACGAGGGCGATGGAGATGCCATTGATCCGCCATTACATGACTGAGTTCTGTCTAGAAGAAACGTTTGCGCATCGCGCAGGGGAAGAGGTTCTAGTTTTCCCGAAGCATACGGATATTACCGAGGCCTTGCGAATGATCACTTTTGAAACAACGTCGCTGATTGCACAACTAAATCTGATTGCAACCAATGACGAATCCTGAACACTCGCACCACGAAAGAGCCGTATTAGAACAGAGGTTCGTAGGAAGATATGACAAGTAACCTCTGTGGGAAGAGAATGGGGGACTTACAGTACCTTTGCTTCCTGCATGAGCCCTAGCTGGATTTACACCATCCCCTCAGCTATTGGCGATGATAGAAAAAGCTAGCCACGAATTAAAATGACAAATTCTACGATTAAAACTCTGGCAATGATACATCTATATTGAATTATGTGGTCTTACGTACCCACAAAGAGAGAGAGAGGAAGGCATCGATATACAATGTTTACACAGTATCTAATTTCCCATTTCGGCACAGATTTATTACATTTTAAACATGGTAGGGACAATGAAGCTGCAGATTCATCTCCTATCCTAGTATTCCTGATATATTTTTTTCAAAAAAATCTAGCACAGATCACAGTTTACAAAACAAATTATTAAATGTTAAATCGACAAAGGTCAAATTTAATCACAAAAATGAGTTCTTTGGAGTTTCAATGGCATAAATAAATGTTTAACGATGCACTCAACAATATTCCAGCTATATGACGGTGGTCTGTAAATAGTCGAGTCTGGACCAGACCATCAAGTGATTAACAGCATGAGCTTTGATATACGAAACTGAGTCAATCAAGTCAGCGAGCCTGACCACCCGATACAAGACCAATTCTAACCCGGATCTTCATGGGTTGTATAAATATAAAATCGGTATCCTTTCTGGGGGCGCTCAATGTTCTCGGCATCCAATTCCAGGAACCCCCGTTCGTGATCCGCGAAGAGACCGAGAATGGAACGAAGTACACCGGATACTCTATGAATGTGTTTGATGAGATTGCGAGGCGTCTTGACCTCGACTTCACTGTTTACGAAGCCAAGGATGGACAGTACGGAAAACAGAACCCGGATGGAACGTGGACAGGATTGATGGGTGAAATACTTACTGGAGTAAAACATATTGATTAGACAACATTATATCTATGTACTAACATATCTCCTTATCTACAGTCTGTTTACCATGACGGATTAAGAATTTAGTGAGAACCTTACACATGTGTCGATTCCATCACAATTAAAGCCGTGTAGTTCTACAAGTTATCTGCACGAAATAAGTAGGGTTTCCAGCGAGTAGCTAAATGTAAGAACCTTGTAAACGTGTTTACGTTTTCCTTTTTGAAAAGCCCAGCATTTTGGATTCTTGTTTCTGGCCATGCAGGAAGCAACGGCCGTGGAACTCCAGCATCCGGAAATCACATTTGTGTCGATCTTGTCAAAACACAATGGTAGTACAGCCATGAAGTAAAACTTAAAAATCGTATCATTATTCCTTACTGATACAACAAACACATGCTACTGAACATGTTCAACAAGTGTTGACACTGATAAGCTAATACAGTGTAATAGGATAATAAGGTAATACAGTATACCAACTTAGTATGGTGTAACGAAGATGCTTGTCAGTAAACAAAAGCGTCGGCTTAAGTGGATCTGGTATTCAGCAGAATATACATATCTTCCGACCGTAAAGACATTAATATTGAAAAGACAATGACATTTTCCCAGTCTGAAGTAACACATTCTCAATGACATTCTGGCAACGACGTATATTTTTCTGACGCTTCACCGAATACCCAAGCATTTGGACTTACTTTGTTTACATGTCCCATTTAGAATATAAATACAAATAAACAAACGTAGCAATTTATACAACTAGACCCATCAATCAGTTCGATGAAAAATGGATCAGTTTAGTTTTAGGTTTGTTGTCCTGACATACAAATATTTCAAATGTAGACTGAGCGGCGTGAAATATACTTGAAAGCGGTGTTCCAGTATCTAGACACGACGCCATTTTCAGAGTGTAAGAATTGTAATATATTTTCTTCCACATTGTTAGATCCTTCCTGTTATATATGATACTGTATGTGTTATGTGTCTTCCGACTTTTGTGACGATATTACATGTACAACAATACAGATTGTAGATTGTAACGTTTCCCCACCCAGTTCGCCGACATAGCTGTGGCATCCCTGTCGATGACAACCGAGAGAGACAAGGTCGCCGATTTCACAACTCCATACTACGAGTTCGGGGGGATTCAAATCCTCATCAAGAACAATAACGCGGGGACCTCTCTGTTGGCATTTGCTAACGTGTTTTCCGGGGAGGTCTGGGCATGCTGGACGTCAGTCCTACTGTTGACGTGACTTCTCGTGTGGGTCTTCGAGAAGTTGAGCCCTTTAAGCCCCTACAACAACGTTCTACAAAAAGGATCAAAGGAAGTTCACGGTGACCGAGGGACTATGGCTCGTCACGGCGTCATTTCCCATAGCAGGTATGTCACTATATCAATTCGATCTGGGATTTGTTGACCTTATTTAGTCCTATAGCTGCTGAAGTTCACCTGGAACTTTCATTATTAGATATATCACATGTGATTGTTTTGTGTTTGATGAACTGAACTTATTGAATGTAGTGGTGCTTATAACTCTGCGGTTAAGATCTCCATTTTCTTATCGTGTTATTTTCTTATAAAGTAGTCATGTCAGGGTTGTATACATTTCCCGATAGCGTTCTTTTGGCCCAACTGTGCATAAAAACGGCATCATGTTACCCCAGTCTGCCATATATTGATCGGTTGTTAACACAGTAAGGGTATTTGACCAGTGTGTTTGGCTTATAGTGTGGTTGTATACTTTTCTGATTTGTTGAAACCAGCGTGTACGATTTGTGATCTATGATCGAGGTCTTAGAAGGCATTCACGTCATGATCAAGACGTCCAATTCAAAATCGTCCAACTCTGGTCAGTCTATGAATATAAACTCAAAACAAAAATGGTAGCCACTCTTTTTATCCGTCCCTACTCCTTGTTCTGTCCATGTCTGGGCAAGATTGTTCGCCGTCTGTGATTATCAATGACAGTCAACGGTTGTTCTCTGACCAAGCTAAAATTCCAAGAGAAGGGGATGACTTTTATTAGTTAACAAAAGCGACTGTCTCAGGGTGTTTGCCTTATGGCTATAGGTTTAAGGAATGCCAATTATAAATTGATCCGAATTAAAGGGCCTGTCAGGATATTGTCTCCGACCAGCAATCATGTTCTTATCATTTGGTGCTTCTCTGAAACAATCCCCATTTCACCTACTCGGAGACAGATCGAAGGGAATATCTTTTGCATTTTCTCAATGCTGATTATTCAGTTGTATCTACATAACGTTACATTGGTGTAGTTTGATATAATATTATATGCCGCACTAGTAAGAACGACACTAAAAAGTAACAACATAGGCTTGGAAGAGATAATTCCTCGAAACGCGATGGTTATTATATAACTGTATCGCAGGTCCCGAGTGCACACCCCGGACGTTCTCGACTCGTATGTTGGTGGGCGGATTCTGGTTCTTCTGCAGCATTATGATGGCTACATACACGGCTAACCTGGCTGCCTTCCTCACCACCTCCAGGCTCAACGTACCTATAGGTAGTGCAAATGTCTGATATACCTCACCACCTCCAGGCTCAACGTACCTATAGGTAGTGCACATGTCTGATATACCTCACCACCTCCAGGCTCAACGTACCTATAGGTAGTGCACAGTCTGATATAGTGTAGTGCTACATTGTCCTGTCTTTCCACAGTTTGAAGTACATTACATCCATTATATTTTTGATGGAAACGAATCAGGGAGTACAAGTGTTCCTACTCTTTTCCGGGTTCCTTCTTATGCTTTTGTATTGCATTTTGTATGGAAATCTGGGAATAGATAGAAAAACACGTGTATTTTCATGTTTGTTTCAGTATATAATGGAGCATATGAGGTGACTAGAACATTGTACATCTAATTACACCATGGTACGTGTGATGATCATCCTAGAGTGTGCTTTGAAAAATAACATCCTTCTTTTCCTGACCAACAGTTGTTGCTTTGATAGTTTGATTCAATAACCTATGACAAATGAGCGAGCCTATAATTCATGTAATAAAAGCAAGAGTGTCTGTAAGTTTCGGAAGTAAATTACCAACATATTTCTTTTGATCTACAGGATATATGGTACATGTATCTTCTGCTTCTATACAATATCTTTCGTGTTTTTACTGGAATTCGTTCGTTCCTTCTTTCGTAGAGTCGCTAGGTGACCTCGCAAAGCAAAACATAATCAAGTATTCCGTAGTCGAAGGAACTGTAATCCACGAGTACTTCCAAAGGATGGCTAAAATAGAATCAGACTTTTACCAAGAATGGAAGAGCATGAGTTTTTATACCAAGAACATAGACACCTCTGACACATTACCAGCAAACTATGCGGTGTGGGACTATCCACTTGGGGACAAGTACCTCACGATCTGGAGATCCATCCAGAACACTGGTTTGCTAAATAGTTCCAGTGAGGGCATTGCTAAGGTATTGGCGGGTAATTTTGCCTTCATCCGTGAGTCACCGATGATACAGTATGAACTCTCCAAGCACTGTGATTTGCTGGCTGTTGGCAAGCAGTTCAGCAGTAGGGCATATGCATTTGCCTTGGCTGAAGGTTCGCCGCTGACCCGTGTCATCTCATATACGTGAGTACCTTCAGCCTTATTTACACTAGTTTACTTTCATATGTGTGATTATTTTACTTCAAGCTCTATGCTCGTTTCTGAATGTGCACGAATATGAATGTTCTGTTTTACACGAATGTGACGGAAAGTAATGTCTAAGTCATCACTTTGTACACAGATCAAAGCTTGCAACTCCTGTCATACCGACCCAGAAACAAACATATCCAATACGATCGATGCAGGTCTGTCATTATAGCTAGCTGGTCTCTCACGTCCTATTTAATATATTTTATGAAGATAAATAAATATATGTATTCATTAAAATATTTTCATTTCAGAGACTAGGTATTAGCCCCAAACTAGCATCCATACACTTTTGCACTTGAATTTAAAGGTTTAGCTGTATGTCGTATACGAGCGAACCTTGATAGGTTAATACTTTACGTTTCAGTGTAAGCAACCTATGCATTTAATCTATGTACATTTATTGTAAATGATGATAAAAATAACAAATAAATGTATATTGTCTTAGTAGAAATAATGCCACACTAGCAATACATGGATGACAGTGCAGCAATGTCCGCACAATAGTTCTATACATCGCAGTATTGTAAGGTTCAGATATAGAAACACACATTTCAAGTAGTTTAAGTAACAGATTGTTGATCTCTTATAGCTAATATACCATCATTTCAATAAGTAGAGCGTCACACGTTTATCAGCTATTCTTCACGTTTATAAAGATGACGATTGGAACAATTTGATCAGGTCTTGAGATTCCAGGATATTACAACTGCAGTCTGAGACCATCCTGGAAACAATGAAGACCAAATGGTGGAAGAATGGCAGTTTGACTTGTTCCCAGGTAGACGAGAGTGGCGGTCTCACATTTCACACTGTCGGTGGCATCTTCGTTGTCGTCAGCGTCGGAATTGGACTTGGAGTAATCTCCCTTGGTCTAGAGCGCCTGTGGGCATCATTGACAAGGGTACGGAAAGTAAGATACGTCACATGCATTAATAACTATATACATTTCTCTGCATATTCATGAAGATCCTGTATTGATATACTAAAAGAACAATGGCATACATTGTATTATGTCATAACGTATTCATTCATCATCGTTTTAGTAAACCCCACATTTATTAAATTCTCAAAGGTATTTACTATTTGTTTTGAATGCGTACCAGGGACGCCCTAACAAACTCCGCGTGGTAATAGTTTTACAATTAGTAAAATGAATACCCTAATATAATCCAGGTAATGCAAGATCTCAACCCTAACTTTCAAAATCTATATGGTAGCCATTTACTTTTACATATACTTTCTATTGTAAATGTATTTGACGACGTTTATGTTCAGGTAGTGAGGGGTGGTGGGGTCGCCTAGTGGTTAAAGCGTTCGCTCGTCACGCCAGAGACCCGTGTTCGATTCCCCACATGGTACAATGTTTGAAGCCCATTTCTGGTGTCCCCCGCCGTGACATTGCTGGAATATAGCTAAAAGCGGCGTAAAACCAAACTCACTCACTCATTCAGGTAGTGAGGGGTTGAGTAAAACCGTAACAAGACACTTTACCTTGACACGGTATATATTACAGGAGCACCACAACACTCAAGTAACATCGCCAAACAGCAGAACGAATCTTGCCGTTGATTTCAACCCTGGGATCATCTATCTTGCCAAGGAGTTATACACTGGTGATGACGCAGTAGACACGGATGCCGTCACACTGGAGATGGCGCGAATGTATTAGTGGAATGTTTTTATCTTGACATTAAATGTATGTTAATGCTGTCTTCTCTTATTAAGGCGACATGACTGAGACCTGTTTCGATTGCTTTTGTGAATTTCTAGGATAGCGAGAAAGAAGGATTTTGTGAACACATTGCACTCTTTTTATCTATATATACATAAGGGCAGCATTTTTATTTTCTCTGATTATCATCGCCAGACCGACCGTTCTAGTTGCTGACTCAAAGCCGACCCCTACTCCCCCCCCCCCTCGATAAAAAGCACACTCCACCCAAACAAAAACAATATAAAAAACAAACAAAAAGTTTTAAAAACCAAGAAACCCCAAAATACCAAAACAAAACGAAAAGCAATAAAAAACACACGACTCCCCACCCCCTAAAAAAAAAACCCATTCCCTGCCTCGTCGTATAATGTGTGTGTGTCTGTGTGTCTGTGTGTCTGTGTGTGTTTTAGCCTCGTAATGGTCGTCCATCACGCCAATGGCCCGGCCAATGGGTGCAGTGCGTAAAGCCTATTAGTAGTGATCCCACCGTGATATTGCTGGAATATTGGTCGAAGCGGCATAAAATCAAACTACAGTTACTTACTCATACATATTTGTGGTAGATTAAAGGAATCCAAGTATGATATATATTTTACCAACATAATGTTCACTGTAAATAACAATGGCTAATAAAATACGCTTTGCGTACTGGAGACTATTCAGGTTGTGCTTGAATATGTGAAGGGACAATGGTGTCCAACAGTAGTGGGGTGCAGATAATAAAAACAGTCATGAAAAAATTAGTGTAATCATTTGCAAAGCGATGGCATTGTAGCCCTGAGGTTACGTTACATTACAGTGCATCTAGTATAGAGCCCACGTTCAGGTGAATAGTTGTTTAAGAAACTATCATTAAAATATTGACACAGTTCACTATATATTATTTGTTACGATCCGTGAAGGTCCGGGTTAGAACGAGCCTTCCGTAACCTATGCTTGTCGTAAGAGGCGACTAACGGGATCAGGTGGTCAGGCTTGCTGACTTGGTTGACACATGTCATCGGTTCTCAATTGCGCAGATCGATGATCATGCTGTTGATCACTGGGTTGTCTGGTTACTTACAGACCGCCGCCATATAGCTGGAATATTAACTAAACTAAACTCACTCACTCACTCACACTATTTGTTACGAGGGAGGAGTGCAGACACAGGAACAGCCACGTGTGCGAGAAAAGTTTAACACAGTTAAATGAACCAATAGCACACCTGGCTGTTCCTCTCTCTGCACTCCTCCCTCGTAACAAAAAAAAATAGTGAACTCTGTCAATATTTTATTGATAGTTTGTTAAACAACTTTTATTTATTATTCAATCATAATTCATGAAATTAAAATTTCACAATGGTAGAGCAACTATATGCATCATGTCAAATTAGAAAAGGATTGCAGTAAAGTGACCAAACACCGACACGAAAAGTTTTCTGCCAGACTATATAACACGATGAGTGAGTGGGTTAAATTTCCTGTCACTTTGGCAATATTTCAGCCATATCGTGACTAAATCAAGTTATACAAGTTATACAGATTAATATTAGTAATTAAAGGTAAATTATAACAACCTGTCAACGAAGGACAGTAACACATCTAGAGTATCACATATAGAAATTCAAAACTAGTAATTAAATCTAAAACATTTTAACTATGCATGAAAATACAGTACAATACAATATAACGACAGGCTAAAGATTGCCAACAACCGAAAGTAGATCCCCATACTAGGGACCATGGGGACTTACATTACTTTCGTTACCTGCATGGACCCTAGCTGGATTTACACCATCCCTTCAGCTGTCAGCAATTTTTGACAATCTAACCATAACATTAAAATAACACACATACCGATTGTATCTCATAAGTTGTGAAATGTAAACAACTACGTCGATTCTTAGATTCAACTATGCCGAGGGGGCGGTAGGGTAGCCCAGTGGTTAAAACGTTCGCCCGTCAAGCCGAAGACCCGGGTTCGATTCCCCACATGGACACAATGTGTGAAGCCCATTGTGGTGTCCCCCGCCGTGATATTGCTGGAATATTGCTAAAAACGACGTAAAACCATACCCACTCACTCACTCAACTATGCCAAAGAAAACATGATTGCATGGACAGCTTATTGCGTTTTCTTTGTTGATAACGTGTTGTGCTTGAGTTCATATACATGAACAAGTTTGGATAAACAGGAAAAAATGCAAAACCAAAACCAAACAAAAACCATAGGAAACAGCCGAAGGACTTGAACTTTGCCAATGTTAACACCGAAACCGGTACGTACGAAACTACATTATAAAATCAGTTAATAACCACACACGATCGAAATATATTTAAAATCACAGGAATACTTGTACAATCACAAATGCACACAAATGCATGTATCTGGCATCAATATCCAAGGCAAAATTGTAAATAGCGAGACAGATTGCAGACAGAGGTTTCCAATATTCCTGGCATAGTACTGATGTAGGCAGGAGTAGGCACGAGTAAGCGGTGCATTTCGCTGTGTAGCGGAACGTCATGTCACATGTAGCGGAACGTCATGTCATAACACCGGACATATATTGGTTTGAATCCCGGTCCGCCCCGACTATGTGTCATAGTTTATCATCAACATCCAGGTGCTCGTGGTGGGTTTAATCAGAGCGGCAACCCTGCATCACCTCGGGCGACCCTCCATATTGGTATGACACACCTACCACACATACATACATACATACATACATACATACATACATACATACATACATACATACATACATACATACATACATACATACATACATACATACATACATACATACATACATACATACATACATACATACATACATACATACATACATACATACATACATACATACATACAAACATACATACATACATGCATACATACACGCATGCATACACGCATGCATACATGCATTCATACACGCATACATACACGCATACATACATACATACATACTGGCATACATACATACATACATACATACATACATACATACATACATACTGGCATACATACACACATGCATGCATACACCCATACATACATACACGCATACATACATACATACACGCATACATACACAAATGCATGCATACATCCATCCATACATACATACATACACGCATACATACATACATACATACATACATACATGCATACATAGACGCATACATACATACACGCATACATACACACACATGCACGCATACATACATAGGCGCATACATACATTCTCGCATACATACATACATAGACGCATACATACATACAATACACGCATACATAAATGCATACATACATACACGCATACATACATACATACACGCATACATACACGCTTACATAAATGAATACATACATACATACATACATACATACATACATACATACATACATACATACATACATACATACATACATACATACATACATACATACATACATACATACATACATACATACATACATACATACATACATACACGTGTAAAGAGATTAAAATAACCATCCCCGGTCGCCACACATCTACTTCGTGTTAGTGTGTGTGTTAGTGTTAGTGTAAAGCAACACACACACACACGTGTACGCGCGCGTGCGTGCGTGCGTGCGTGCGTGCGTGCGTGTGTGTGTGTGTGTGTGTGTGTGTGTGTGTGTGTGTGAGTTAATAACACTGCAAGGTACAAAGATATAAACCCATGCACGCACGCACTACCCGCTCGTACACACGTCAACCTTCGACCCTTAGTCAATGCAGCGGTAAACCGCGATATTGATTGATCTTACTCGCGCAACGTACAACGTACAATGAGAATACATTACTCCTTATATAGTAACCGAAACTAGGACTTTCCAAGAAGCGAAAATAGCAAGTATTTATAGGAGACAAAGTGCCCGCTCTAACTAGTCTGGCGCAAGCTTCGTGAGTTTCGTCGTGTAAATTTTATTTGGACCCAGTTTGCAAGGAATCACAGCCCGAAGACACTCTGACAGACACAATGGGGAGAGCCAAAAAGAGGAACGGCTATTCCACTCCGACGACACTCTCGGCTGATAATACCGGTAAGGATAGGTAAAATCGATATGGTTTATTACATAGAGGCAAACGATTTCGATTGAGTAGTTGTGGTCCATTCGTTCATAATTTGCACATCATAATCCTTGCATGTATGAGACGTAACTGTTATAGGAATCATTTTTCAAATATGTGAACCATTCCCAACGTCTCTAAGCCTAACCAGTAAACTCGTTGCCAACCACACCTGCACATTGGTGACAATGGAATGTCAACGCATTTCATAGTGCCCTATCGGATTACAGTCACAGGTGCACTGGCTGTCAAATAGTTGACCTGCTCATGTCACGACGCCCTGCCGTGTAGCAACCATTGCCAGGGCGGTGAAACGCGGCATGACGTCAATAGATTTCCAGGAATATGGCCTCATGATTCTAAGAAATTATCCACTTGAATCGAACACCCAAGTATTGATTGTGACAATACATTTTGTATGCTGAAGTGTATCTACGAATTCTTATTAACGGTTATCAAATTATGTTGACTTCCCACCCCGCATGATACTGCACTATCTTTTAATATAATTTGTCGGTGAGCTGTCCTGCTCGCCTGGCTCAGCCGTCACGGGTACCCACACATATACCTGTGCATATGTTACAGGAAATATGTATAATCAGTAAATATGTATAATTACTGAAATTTTCAGTAATTATATATAATGTCTGATTCACTCAGGAATTATGTATATTATACATAGTTCCTGAAATTTAAGAAACAAACTTATACATATGTACTGAAATCATTCTGAATTACTGAAAAATTTATATTACTCTTAAAGTCAGTCTGGTTTTCATAGATATGTCTTTATTTTTAGGAACAAGGTACAGCACATTGATTTCATGAATTTTTGTTAAATAAGTATGATTATGTTGTGACTGAACTACACTCAATCTTTGAACCTGCTGTATTTTATCTACCATAAGAAGACATATCTATGAAAATCTGACTGACTTTAAGCGTAATATCAATATTTCAGTAATTCAAATGATTTCAGTAAATATGTATAATTTTGTTTCTTAAATTTCAGGAATTATGTATAATTATTGAAAATTTCAGTAAATAAACACAATTCCTGAGTGAATCAGTCATTATACATAATTACTGAAAATTTCAGTAATTATACATACACTAGATGCCTAAAGACACGTTACCCTCCTACCTTTATGAATTACTGAAAAACTATCAAAGATATGTTAGAAGGTATTAGTTTACAAGAAAGCTTAACAACACAGCTTTATGCAAATCACGAAAACAATTCTCAAATGCATTCATATTTAAGTGAAATGCATCTTTTCAGAAGAGTTAAATTTTCCTGTATTCGTCCATGCCAAAATAAACCAATAACAGTAATTTTGATCTCCAAAAGAAAGGTTGCAATACAATTCTGCTTTGGGAAAATGATAAACCATTTACAGTCACCTTTTGTAAACTATTAAAATAATAATAATAATAGTAGATTTGTATTGCGCTTTTCCATACTTGGATATTATGCTCAAACAACTGTTGTAGAGTTGTAAAATAATCATTCCTATGATTTCAGTCTTTTAAAACATGTTCTGCTGATTTGCATTAGTGAAAACAAGTAAAACCTGTCTTTGATATTGTGAAAAAATGTTTAGGAACATCTAAAAATATCTTTGTTACCATTTTTGCTTGGAAAGTCACATTTTTCCATTTTCTGTTTACACATAGCAATATCAATCGCCAAAACGCAGCAATATTCAAGCAGTATTTACATCCATTTCACATGTAGAATGATTCTATAGGATATAAAGAGAGGCTAGAAGACATGATCTGATACACAAGTACGAGAAATATGCCACGATTAACAGCTGAGGGGAGAGAAAGAGCCTTTGGGATTGTGCAGATGGGGTTGACATACAATGCTGTTGCCAAACGCCCTCGGATGCCACCGTATCACGGTTATAAGACTAATTCAGGGCTTCAGACAGACTGGGGTCACCCTAGACAGACCAAGAAATCGTCCACGCATCGCAACGGCAGCTGAAGATAGGTACCTCCGTCATTAAGGAAGGAGGGTAACGTTTCTTTAGCGTTTAGTGTATTTATTGATTATACATATTTCCTGTAACATATATAAATCTGCACGTTGATGTGTGGGGATCAAATCTATACCTCTTTCACGTGGTTTATCTACCTTGCCATTCACCGAGGACTGTCACACAATTTAGGCGGTCCATCAAATAGCTGTTCATAAATCAAAAACATTGAAACGAAACTCCACTAAGCAGCCACGCATTATCCCTGATTTGAACACTATCGTTTTACACTGACGCTTCTTTTTACCCGAGTTAGCTCCCTTAGACCACCATTGAACAGAAGGCGGTTCAGAAATAGAATCAGTTATTTAAATGGGAGATGAAATAAATATGGAAATGATTAATTCTGAGGAAAGTAGGAGGCGGTTCGCCAAAACATTTTTGTCAATTCATTTAAATATAAGGGTTTTCCTTAATCAGCCTTAATTAGAAAGTCACCAAACAATGCTGCACTACCCCCGTTGTCATTTCATTGTAAACTGTAAGACATTCAACATTGTGCCAAAACTTTATATAAGAAATGCTTCAATTTTAGTTTTCTTATGAAGCAATCTTAATTGCTTTGTATTTTGTCTACAATACAGATGCAACGACATTAACCATTCCGGCCTTATAATTGTGTAATTAACGTAGCTACACGTGCTAATTGGCGTTAAATGTAATCTCTTACTGATTTTTATTCAGTTTCCGCTATTTACAATCGTTCCACAGAGCCAAAAACTATTGTGTCGCCAGAGGAGAGAACAAAAGCCCTAGCCTCGTCCTTCGACGCTGAGGTGCGCCCACTGATAGACCTGGTCGACAAACTACGTGGGTATGGTCTGGACAGAGACATCAACCTTCCTGCCGTCGCCGTCATCGGGGACCAGAGTGCCGGGAAGAGCTCTGTTCTTGAAGCAATCTCTGGCGTTCAACTTCCAAGAGGAACGGGTAAGTTGTGTTTCTGGTCAGGTCGTTACAAAGAACACACCTGCAATGACGTCAAATGGTAAATCAGTATATGGAAAGTACCTATGTACCCTTGTATATAAACTTAGACTAAGCCTGGTTTCACGTGATAACGACATAGAGAACAGAATTATTTGTGGATAGTTTACCAAAAGTTATAAGCTATCCTTCAGATATCTGATACCTCAGGCCAGATTTCCTACAAAGCCCACTGAACGGGTTTGAAGAGGCCAAAGTCCAGCAACTGGAAGAATAACTTGCAAGTAATTCGGTCAGTATGAAGAACGTTAAAAATCACATAATGTTGTTTACAAATATCTTGGATTTCGCGACGTGTATTGACTAGTTAGGTTATGTTCATCTGAAAATTAAAGAACTTTAAGTAAAGAAAAACGCATAGTCTGCATTTGTGTTTGTAGGTATTGTGACAAGGTGCCCGTTGGAGATGCGGATGAAGCACTCAGAGGATGAGGACAAGTGGGAGGGAAAGATAATGTATAAGGACAAGCACGATATGCCCCACGAGGAAGTCATCCTGAACAGAGAGAGTGTTGGAGACCTTGTGCGGAAAGGTTGTATAAACATATTGTTCTGAGTGTGTTTTTAACAGCATTAATTTAAAATTAATTGAATTTATTGAAATTAGATTTATTAAATGCAGTAACAAAAGCTGAGACTGAACTCACGATGTCATTATTTTTCACATAACGCTTATGTAACTGCGATTTTCTGGCTTTGCGTCTGTTCAAATGAGAATCTACAGAGTGTCTAGAGGCTTCTTTTAATTATGTCCCATGCATGTAGCTCAAAAGGAAATGACAGATGGTGCCACGGGAATTAGTGATGAACTCATTACGCTTGAAGTGATGTCATCAGATGTCCCTGACCTGACCGTCATAGACCTGCCAGGTATCGCAAGAAACGCTGTCGAGGGTCAACCGTTTGATATCGAAGCGAGGGTAAGATGTCATCACAGTGATACTCATATTCAAAACATTTAATTCAATCAGGCGAATTATAGTGTACACATTTTCCTGCCGACTGTTATCGAAATTTGATTGAGAACATATTATTTAAAGGATTGTTAAAACATGGGAAGCTATGTGACTATTTATGGCGAAGTGACAATGTAATCCACTGAATCGAATATTATATGAGATGTTTCATTATTTTTGCCATTTTGAACATCTAATCAACCAATCAGAATAATTTTCATATGAATAGTTGCCCATCCTCGCGTCTTCTATCTACATCCGCTTAGCAATAAAAAGAAAAAGGGAATATATCCATTCAAAATTAGTTCAATGTTTAAATTATCAATAATTTACGGCAACAATAATTCAGTTATTTTTACTTTTCAGATTAAGAATATGATCCGTCAATATATTCAACGCCAGGAGACCATCATCCTTGCTGTTCTACAGTGTAATGTGGATATTGCCACGTGTGAAGCGCTCAAAATGGCAAAGGAATTTGATGACGAAGGTGGAAGAACTCTGGGTACGTCATGCCGTTTGGTTTGATTTGTAAAAGGCCGATCTATTTTTTTAAAATTACATTGATGTCTACGTTAGACTATATGCTTTGATATATTTTAAATATGATGATGATGGGTTTAAGCTTTGGTTGTTTTCAGAGCTATAATTACGAACTGATTATGTTTAGTGTATCTTGATGCTTTCGTCTGCAGGGGCGGTGGGGTAGCCTAGTGGTTAAAGTGTTTGCACGTCACGCCGAAGCAAGGAGGTTCGATTCCCCACGTGGGTACAATGTGGGAAGCCCATTTCTGGTGTCCACCGCCTTGATATTGCGGGAATATTGCTCAAATCGTCGTAAAACCTAACTCATTCACTCACTCACTTTCGTCTACAAGTGCTGATTACATGCTTTCGATATGTAGCAAACGGGTAAAATGAATCTCTTCAGGGGTTCTAACTAAGCCGGACTTGCTGGACAAGGGAGCCGAGACCGGTGTTATTAGGATCCTGAACAACATGGAGTTCACACTGTCCAAGGGCTACGTCATTGTCAAGTGTCGAGGTCAGGAGGCTATATCGGAAGGCCAGTCTTTGAAACATGCACTGGATGTAGAAGAAGATTTCTTCAGAAGTCACAGACATTTCAGGTAGTGTACTAATACCAGTAAAATGCGACATATGTCGACTTTGTACATCTAGAATTAAAACACATGTACGGCTTAGAGACGCCAGACCATTATACCTATACCACACTTGGTGTGACTGCACTTTATTGTCTACTTCCGTTTCATTTCGGGTATAACCGGTGAAGGTCCGGGTAAGAATGAACCTTTCGTAACCCATGCTTGTCGTAAGAGGCGACTAACAGGATCGGGTGGTCAGGCTCGCTGGCTAGCTTGACACACGTCATCGGTTCCCAATTGCGCAGATCGATGCTCATGCTGTTGATCACTGGATTTTCTGGTCCAGACTCGATTATTTTCAGGGCGCTGCCATTTACAGAAACACCTGGCGTATTGAAACATTCATTTGATTGAATAAAGAGCTATTGTAATGTTTTCATATTTTCCAGCGCAATGCGACCTTCTCAGTGGGGCATCCCCAACCTATCCGAGCGGCTGTCACGTGAGCTGAAGAAACACATCAAGGTGTGTATAATTTTAGGGGTATATATATCTTCACGCATTTACACACCGTTCCTCATAACTACACTGCCAGGCCTTTAGATTCACTTGACAGTTGAGGACCACGAGCTTTCAATATAAATGATATGGTTAATGAGATCAGCTTTGAAAAGGGACAACCAGTGATCGTAGGATTTCGAAACACAAACCTTACACACCCAAACATTGCACGTGGACTATGGAATTCATTCAACAAGGATTATTCTTGATTTTGATACTTTTCTTAATCCCCCACAGTAACACATAAACAATCTCTTTGTGTTGTTGTTGATTTAATGATATACTTATTCATCAGACTGGAAATGCGTAGGTCGCAGTAAGTCAACAACACAGGTCAAAAGTCGATGAATCTCAAACTTGGCTCCATGAAATGGATCCCAGAGATTCAACCAATTCGAGGTTCATTTCACAGTGCTTAGAAGTTGTCTGCATTTGTCTCATCATTTTCTTCTCTGCGACCACATGTTGTAGAAATTGTTACCGGAACTGAAGGAGGATGTGCGCCGCAAACTCCTTGAGACTGAGAAGCAGTTGCATGATCTCGGAGAAGATCCTCCACAAACAGCCTCAGAGAAGCGTCAGATGGCTCTGCAGGTACATCAGAAAATGGGGATTAACTGCACTCGTAACAATATTCCTGCCATACAAGATAAATTGAGCTTTGTAATTCAGGAATAGACATAAACAAATATTAATAACGAAATAGCCACCTGAAAGGGACAATGCTGTGGAAGGCGTTCCATATACAGTCGGATTTACTGCTACATTTAGCTCAAATGATGTATATACGTAATCTTATAAGTGTAACTAGATTGTTCAGTAAAACAATTTCCTTTATGAAGGAGATACTTTTGACAGATGGTCACCGAGTTTATCAACATAGTCACTGCCTTGACGACTGGACAACGCTGTGATGACTCCAAGTTTCCACCAATAATTAACAATCTCTATAGCGATGCTCGACGGTCTTTCACAGAGCTGATCAAAACCGCAGAAGAGATACAACCGGGTATGTAGATTGCACAATTTGACGTTTAAAAAAACGTTTAAAAATATTTTACATACACGTGAAGATACGGGTTAGAATTGGTCTTCAGTAACCCATGTTTGTCGTAAAAGGCGACTTACGAGATCGGGTGACTTGGTTGACACATCATTGTATCCCAGTTGCGTAGAATGATGTTCATGATGTTGATCACTGGATTCATTATTTAGAGCCATATGGCTGGAATTTTGCTGAGTGCGGCGTTGATCAACAGACCATCCAATTACATAATAGCCGGGCAGAGTTCTATAAAAGTCCTGGGCCTAGATTTTCGAAGCTCTCTTAGCGCTAAGATCGTCGTAAGTTAATGATAATGTATGGCACTTACGACTAAGAGTGCTTCGAAAATCTAGGCCCTGTTCAAGGTTACTCAGGTATGAATACATTCCACATCTGTTCTTTTAAGTAAACAAATAGAAAAAACACACACCAGAGCCCTTGCCTTTGTAAGAGTGCATTTATGTATCATTTAGTAGATTTTCGTTTGTCGAAAAACCTCTTGGTATGATATTTGTCCCGAAGTTCATCAACATGGGCACATCTGTGTTACGGACAAGTTAATGAACTACTCCTCGAAGAGACAGATACATATATTTCTTAAAGGGTGTCGTCCATGCACGAGGTGTATGTGAATCACGCCGATGCAGCCCGCTTGCCCACCAGTCAAACACTGTGTATCTTGCATTAACTTGGCTAGACCATTCGAAACATGTGTCCTTTGATTATATTTGTTTAGGAAATTCTCGTGTGTCTATTCAAATGGTAAGGTTAACCTCGGAGAGGAATACACGGACAGGCATATGCATATATATATTTGTTCTCTAGATACCAAAAATCACAAATTGAGGACCGACCTTCAAAAGAGGATGGAAGCTTCCCGAGGTCGGGAGTTTTGTAATTTTCTGGGCAAATTTGAGCTGGTGGAAAGTTGTGCTCAGGAATACATCTCCAAACTGGAAGAACCTGCACTTCAATGCTTCAGTGACGTCCATAGTATGACGACAGAAATCCTGAAGATTGTAGCTGAAAAATGTTTCGAGAAATTTCCAGATTTTGCACAGAGAGCTAAGGTGTTTAACACATTATTGATTGTAATTCATTCTCTACCGCATGGTTACAAGATATTCGAGTAAGCTTAATTTTTGGTACAAGACATATGTTGTAATGTCATGTTGATAATAATGTTCAAGACATGTTTCACTATTCATTGACCAAATAATGCTTGTTCTGTTTGAACAGTCTGAATTGTATCTCATCTGTTTGCCTTCACGGAGGTTCGTTGAATGTATGAAATGCGTGTCTCATTGGTTTGCCATCACGGAGGTACGTTGAATGTATTAAATGTGTGTCTCATTGGTTTGCCTTCACGGAGGTACGCTGAATGTATGAAGTGTGTGTCTCATCGGTTTGCCTTCACGGAGGTACGTTGAATGTATTAAATGTGTGTTTCTTCGGTTTGCCTTCACGGAGGTAGGTTGAATGTATGAAGTGTGTGTCTCATTGGTTTGCCTTCACGGAGGTACGTTGAATGTACGAAGTGTGTGCCTAATCGGTTTGCATTCACGGAGGTACGTTGAATGTACGAAATGTGTGAGTGAGTGAGTGAGTTAAGATTTAAAGTCACATCGGCAATATTTCAGCCATATCGTGAGTACGAAATGTCTGCCTCACCGGTCTGCTTTCACGGAGGTAGGTTGAATGTATGAAGTGTGTGTCTCATCGGTTTGCCTTCACGGAGGTAGGTTGAATGTATTAAATGTGTGTCTCATCGGTTTGCCTTCACGGAGGTACGTTGAATGTATGTAATTTGTGTCTCATAGGTTTGCCTTCACGGAGGTACGTTGAATGTACGGAAAATATGTCTCATCGGTCTGCCTTCACGGAGGTACGTGGAATGTATGAAATGTGTGCTTCATCGGTTTGCCTTCACGGAGGTACGTTGAATGTGTGAAGTTTGTGTCTCATTGGTTTGCCTTCACGGAGGTACGCTGAATGTATTAAGTGTGTGTCTCATTGGTTTGCCTTCACGGAGGTACGTTGAATGTACGAAATGTATGTCTCATCGGTCTGCTTTCACGGAGGAACGTTGAATGTATGAAGTGTGTGTCTCATTGGTTTGCCTTCACGGAGGTACGCTGAATGTATGAAATGTGTGTCTCTTCGGTTTGCATTCACAGAGGTAAGTTGAATGTATGAAATGTGTGTCTCATCGGTTTGCCTTCACGGAGGTACGTTGAATGTAAGAAAAATATGTCTCATCGGTCTGCCTTCAAGGAGGTACGTTGAATGTACGAAATGTGTGTCTCATCGGTTTGCCAGCACGGAGGTACGTTGAATGTATGAAGTGTGTGTCTGATCGGTTTTCCTTCACGGAGGTACGTTGAATGTACGAAATGTATGTCTCATCGGTCTGCTTTCACGGAGGTAGGTTGAATGTATGAAATGTGTGTCTCATTGGTTTGCCTTCACGGAGGTACGTTGAATGTATGAAGTGTGTGTCTCATCGGTTTGCCTTCACGGGGGTACGTTGAATGTATTAAATATGTATCTCTTCGGTTTGCCTTTACCAAGGTACCTTGAATATACGAAATGTGTGTCTCATCGGTTTGCTTTCACGGAGGTACGTTGAATGTACGAAATGTGTGTCTCATCGGTCTGCCTTCACGGAGGTACGTTGAATGTACAAAATGTGTTTGTCATTGGTTTGTCTTCACGGAGGTAAGTTGAATGTATGAAGTGTGTGTCTCATCAGTTTGCCTTCACGGAGGTACGTTGAATGTATTAAATGTGTGTCCCTTCGGTTTGCCTTCACGGAGGTACGTTGAATGTATGAAGTGTGTGTCTCATCAGTTTTCCTTCACGGAGGTAGGTTGAATGTACGAAATTTGTGTCTCGTCGGTTGCCTTCACAGAGGTAGGTTGAATGTACGAAATGAGTGCCTTATCGGTTTGCCTTCACGGAGGTACGTTGAATGTACGAAATGTGTGAGTGAGTGAGTGATCTAAGATTTAAAGTCACATCGGCAATATTTCAGCCATATCGTGAGTACGAAATGTGTGCCTCATCGGTCTGCTTTCACGGAGGTAGGTTGAATGTATGAAGTGTGTGTCTCATTGGCTTGCCTTCAAGGAGGTAAGTTGAATGTACGAAGTGAATGTCTTATCGGTCTGCCTATACGGAAGTACGTTTAATGTATGAAGTGTGTCTCTCATCGGTTTGCCTTCACGGAGGTACGTTGAATGGATGAAGTGTGTGTATCATCGGTTTGCCTTCACGGAGGTAGGTTGAATGTACGAAATGTATGTCTCATCGGTCTGCTTTCACGGAGGTACGTTGAATGTATGAAATGTGTGTCTCATTGGTTTGCCTTCACGGAGGTACGTTGAATGTATGAAATGTGTGTCTCATTGGTTTGCCTTCACGGAGGTACGTTGAATGTATGAAGTGTGTTTCTCATCGGTTTGCCTTCACGGGGGTACGTTGAATGTATTAAATATGTATCTCTTCGGTTTGCCTTTACCAAGGTACGTTGAATAAACGAAATGTGTGTCTCATCGGTTTGCTTTCACGGAGGTACGTTGAATGTACGAAATGTATGTCTCATCGGTCTGCTTTCACGGAGGTACGTTGACTGTATGAAATGTGTGTCTCATTGGTTTGCCTTCACGGAGGTACGTTGAATGTATGAAATGTGTGTGTCTCATCAGTTTGCCTTCACGGAGGTAAGTTGAATGTATGAAATGTGTGTCTCATCAGTTTGCCTTCACGGAGGTACGTTGAATGTATGAAGTGTGTGTCTCATCAGTTTTCCTTCACGGAGGTAGGTTGAATGTACGAAATATGTGTCTCGTCGGTTTGCCTTCACAGAGGTACGTTGAATGTACGAAATGTGTGCCTAATCGGTTTGCCTACACGGAGGAACGTTGAATGTATAACGTGTGTTTCTCATTGGTTTGCCTTCACTGAGGTAGGTTGAATGTACGAAATGTATGTCTCATCGGTCTGCTTTCACGGAGGTAGGTTGAATATATGAAATGTGTGTCTCATCGGTTTGCCTTCACGGAAGTACGTTGAATGTATGAAGTGTGTGTCTCATCGGTCTGCCTTCACGGGGGTACTTTGAATGTATTAAATATGTATCGCTTCGGTTTGCCTTTACCAAGGTACGTTGAATATACGAAATGTGTGTCTCATCGGTTTGCCTTCACGGAGGTAGGTCGAATGTACGAAATATGTGTCTCATCGGTTTGCCTTCACAGAGGTAGGTTGAATGTACGAAATGTGTGCCTAATCGGTTTGCCTTCACGGAGGTACGTTGAGTGTACGAAATGTGTGAGTGAGTGAGCGAGTTAAGATTTAAAGTCACATCGGCAATATTTCAGCCATATCGTGAGTACTGAAATGTGTGCCTCATCGGTCTGCTTTCACGGAGGTAGGTTGAATGTATGAAATGAATGTCTCATCGGTCTGTCTTTACGGAAGTACGTTGAATGTATGAAGTGTGTGTCTCATCGGTTTGCCTTCACGGAGGTAGGTTGAATGTATTAAATGTGTGTCTCTTCGGTTTGCATTCACGGAGGTACGTTGAGTGTACGAAATGTGTTCCTCATTGATAGTCTTCACAAAGGTACATTTACGTTGAATGTACGAAATGTGTGTCTCATCGGTTTGCTTTCACGGAGGTACGTTAAATGTATGAAATGTGAGTCTCGACGGTTTGCGTTCACCGAGATACGTTGAATGTATGAAATGTACGCACACACTATAAACACGAGGTGAGCGATATAAACCATCATGTTGTACAATCTTTATCATGAATATATTCATCCAGTCAATTTCGTTTTTCTGTCCTATCATATTCGACTTAGCTTTACAATTTGTCATGCAGATTCACAACATAGATTCTGCATGTGTCACATTAGCAATCGTGTCTGAAATATGCAAACGTTCCTCTAAACCGAGCCATCTGCATTGCACGAATTATGTGTGTTTGTTGTTATTTTACGTCACTGTCAGCAATATTTTATCTGGATTTTTGTCGCCAAAGACATATATATCCAAGTGAGATAATTCCGTGGACATACAACTTTCTCTATATTTGATTAGTAGAAGCTTATACAAGGTGAAATGTAAACACATAAAATATGAAGCCTAATTGATGTACATTGAAGCCCAATTGGGTTTAACAAGCACGATAAGAAGAGCTAATGGGTGATTGATATGGACAGACTGATTGGATGCCAGTATTATGATGACTATGATTTACAAGTTTGTGAGTGTGCAGATTGATAGAAGGATGCATAAGTGCATGCATGCACGCACACATACACGCACGCACACACACACACACATGGGTCTGTTTGGTGTTGTCAGCGTTTCTCCACTTTTGCCTCTAGTGCACACTCATGCACACGCACGCATACTTAGAAATGTTTTGGGCCCTTCGCCTATTTTCCTCTTAGTGTGTAGGTTTTTTTAGATGACTCGTGAATGTTCGAATCAGTGTTTATACGATTCACCTTTGTATATTCAGAAGTTTGCTTTCAACTTTCGGGGGTAGATGATTGTCGATGGTTTTCAGCAAGGCGAAACTGCATGCACGGATGTTTGCAATAATTTGGCTGCGGAGGATATCGATGGAATTGTATCCCTGGTTCATCGTATCAAAGCTGTTATGTAGCTGTTTATTTTATCAGATATGCGATTTTGATACCATGTATATGATATCGTAAAATGTATATAATGTTTACATTTTTACATGTTTCAGGACGTTATAATGAAGACGCGGAAAGAGACCAACAGTGAGTGCAAAGACGAAATACAGAGATATTTCAAAATGGAGAATCTGGTGTACTCGCAGGACAAAACCTATGGCGTCGAATTTCGTGAGTGGTCAAATCGAATAATGCAATCGTTCCAATAACAGCCCCATCAGAGCATACATGTATTTATACATTAAGTAATAAATCACTTATCAAAATCTATGTGTTTAAACATTCTCACTGCTCACCTTCTTTAGAATAATATATGAAGGAAATGAGCTTATTAATAAAAAACAACATACGATCTCTAAATCTATATAATTTTTTTATGCCTCTAGACGAATAATATGAGGTACAAATGATTTTACCATTCCTTCATTCGTATTATTTCTGAAGCTTTTGGATCTATTCCTGTGATAACATTCATAATCTATGGTTATGTTCAAAGATGGGGAATGTGAAGGTATAATTCAAGGCCATATTCGTACTCTTCCAGTTTTGTCACTGCCGAAAGCGAAACGCGCGCGCGCGCACGCACGCCCGCACGTACACACGCACACACATATCTGGTTGTGGTACTTGTGTCTGCAAGCCAACGATTTAGAAAGCCACATTCGGTCCATCACAATTTATGAAACTGACTGTAGTCATATTTATCCGCTCTAGGAACAGAGGAGGAGAAGAAACGAAAGGAAGAAGAAGAGGAAAAAGAAACGGAAACAGAAGAACGCGGCAAAATATCACATTCAGATAGGTACTAGCGTATTGATAGGGTTACCATGAAAGAAGGTTTCATTTAAGACATTAGACTGTGTTGTCTGCTTTCACCCTTTCATGTTGATCAAACCAATACATGCAGTGTTGTTATAACATATTTAAATGTAAATGTAGTCACAGTAATACATCTTAAGCATATGGCATTTGTTTAAACACTCTACTCTTGTAATATGTTCCACAGCATGATACTGAATATGCATATAGACATAACTTTCATTTAACTTTTGGATATATACGTCTCGTTTTCCCACGAGTGTTTCATGTTTCAGGTTCAGTTTCTGAAAATGACGAAGAGGTGAACGGTGTTGACAAAGCATTGATGAGTCTTAACTCCTATTACCTGGTACATTGATACGTGGTTTTCGATTTCGATCGCCCTGGGTATTTTTTTCAACATTTGCCAGAGATTTGCCAGTTGGAAATGAAGCATTCTCGTTTCTTTCAATACCTGTTATGTTAAATGTCAACGTTATTCATATGTTAAATATTTTAGTAAATCGCAGGATAGGATATCCGTTCCGCCAGATTTGATACACACTATACTCTACCCTAACAGGAGCTGACGAATTGAAATAATTTTCCCAACACACATATGGGAGGACATTTATGAAATGAATTATTATTATTATCTCAAACAACCCAACCCCCACCCCAGCACCATGATACCTTTTGGTCTGCTGTAATCTGACCGTCACTGTTATTTCCATATGTTTCCGTATGTTTAGGTCATACGATATACCTTTCCTTTAAAAGGCCATGTGTAACATTTCTTAAAAATGTTCCTGTATCCGTTGATGACTAGTTCAAAATATCTTTTCACACTGTCAGCTGCAACAAAGATTTGTGTCAAGTTTGAGGAACACGTATGCATTCCTTTAAATTCAACGCATTTGATAGTTTTCATGAAGTTATTTCATGTAATCAAAGAGAGAGAAGATTGTTTTCTAAATACCAATCCATGTGTACAATTGTTTCAGGTTGCTACACGGCGTCTCTGTGACGTCATCCCCATGATCATACAGCTGCACGTGTTCCGGGAACAGGTCAAGGAAATGCGGATCCAGCTCATGGAAATTGCTTCGGATGAAAGAACCATGGATAATATCCAGGAAGATGCAGACATGGCTTATAAGAGGATTGAATGCAAGTCTCGTCACGAGAGACTGGTTCTAGCGGAAGAAGAGCTGGACAAAATCTAGCGTTCATCAATGTCATTCCTGGCACTTTCATTGTTTCTGTCATATTTATATTGTCTTTGTAATTTCTTTAATTCAAAAACATGCTTTGATACAGTCGCAATCGTACAGAATCGTACAATGCACTTTATTCAAACAACAATGACAAGAAACGACATCTTGTTTTTTCATTGTACAATTGAAAAATGTTCTGGTCAACATATAGCACACAGATTCCAGTTGGGATATTTATTGCTTTTCACGTTAAGGGATATAATAATTGTTGTTTATGTGTTTGTTTAATAACTTTCTTCATTGGATTATGAATTCCTAAATATCAGGGATGTATCAACCAAATCCCGGTTCATGTTCGTATAGTACCATGGAGCCTGAGAATCACACAAACGCCAAAAGCTCTCATATTATTTTCCTGATTTATCCGAAGTATCTGGTGCTTGTTCAGTGACGAGTAATCCTGGTTCAATATATCACATGTAACAACAGAACAGTCTGTATAGCCAAAGCAGTTTGTATCTCGTTTAAATACGAAATCTCTCAAATAACGGATGAAAAATGGTAAATTTGTAATATCTGCTCAAATGAAAGAATTGCTGTGTGCTGATGTTATTCGTCCGTTGTTATTCCGTCCCCGTACGGTGCTACATTTATCACTGTCTGACTAGACAGCACAACACAGTAGCACTGCTACCTGCCATAGAATAAGTTTAAAATGTTAGTCATTTTTTGTTTAAGCATAAACCAAAGCTAGAATTTTCAAGATTTATATTGTAATGTTTGAATAAAAGTTAGTAAACTACTTATTTATAGCATCATATTTATCATTAGTGTGTGCACTTTTACTTTATGCCCGTATAAAAGTAACAAATGTTTACAAGTGCCAAAAGGGTGGAGATAATACACTACATTCGATAAATGGGTAAGGTTTATCGTTTTCCATTGCTTCAGTACACTGTGTGAAGGTTTTGACTGTAGTGTGTTCATTTGTATATTACAAATATATTTGAACCGATGCAACCTGAAAAATATAGAACTATTCTCATACGAATGGATTATTTCGCTGTCCATTTATTATTTGGAAATTGTGTGTGTGTGTGTGTGTGTGTGTGTGTGTGTGTGCGTGCATTCATGGATGCGTGTGATGTATGTATGCATGCATGCATAGTATGCTATAAGCAACAATAACAACATCAGATAATTCATAACAGGTAGCGCCTGTATGAGGGAAGAGTAAGTAATAACAATTAGCACAAGTTACGAAGCCAATATACATTTTTGGTCACCCGAATGCTAATTCAGTGAGCGGATGTCGGTACCTCCTTGACCAGCGTCAGCTGAGCCGTCTTCAGCAGTGACGACGTGTGAACATCCTCTTCTCGGAGACCTTTGGAACAACGAAGCTTCACGTGATTGACTTCACTTAGACGAATTCCAAGGGTTCGAATCAGATAATGTGGTCACCAAATCAGGCTTGAAATGTGGTATTTGTGTAGGTAATAGCGGATAATGGGGTTGTGTAGTTGAATGCGAAGTCTTGATTTTGATCTTGATTATACCTTGTTCTTTGATCATGCAACCGGATCAAACCATTTACCCACACAGAAACAATCCCACTACTTACTGCACGGTTACACGGGCATATAGTACAATAGCGAATTATTCAGCTAGTCGAGGGATTTAACACTGGAGTTAGTTGTTTTGGGTTTTTTAAATTTAAATAAAACAATTCACAATGCACTTTCGCCTACTCTTCTTTACATTTGCCCGACCAAGCGAGTAGCTTTACTTCTCATCATGCTGGCTTTATTATGTGTTCCGTTCTTCCTTCTTCACCTTCACATATTGCAATATGTTAGCCACAATATGTCGCGGCACTATTTAAAACCACAAATCCCTAATGTATAACTGTAACAGAAATGAATCTATCGCCATGTACATGTAGTTGTGAAAAAAAACCATTTTATGTTTGCAAGTATTCTGCTTTTGTGTATATTACACACAGCGCAGTAACATTTCTTTGCGTGTCTGAATATCATATATTCAATTGTGAATACAATGGTGTTATTTGGATCATGTCATGAACCCGAAAGTTTGTCTACAGAGGTGGCTAATAGGGTTGGGTAGACGACTTTCAATAGCTTTGATCAATGATCATAACGTCAGTCACTGAATTTTCTGATCCAGACTCGATTATTTACAGACTGATTTCATAAAGTTGGAATATTACTGAGTGCGACGTTAAACAACGACCAAACAAACACTGAATGATAGACAAACGTACAGGGTGCCGTTGTACAAAACAACCTGAGTGCTAAGATCACTTTTCCCCCTAAGGTTTTAACTTTAGGCTTTTGCTAAGGTTGACGTCCACTTGCATGAATCTACCTTACACTAAGGTAGACTTAGTTAAGGTGAAAATTTCAGGTTGGTCCGACTCGACCCGACCTCAGTATGGCTAAGGTTGGCGCTTCTAGTAATATCAACATGGCTACAACCTTTAGTAATAATTAACTTAGTGACCTTGACACAACGTTACGCCCGTTGCACCTTTCGTCACCCTTACATTAGAAGGTGACTTATCGGCAACGGGAACTCCCTATAGGCCAAGGAATGTGTTCTAGCGCACATTTTCATACTTAATGTAAGGCATAAAAAGGTGAACGTTGCTGGAGAATTGCGCTCGCGCGACCCTATATCTACCTGTAGCCATGAAATGACACTTGAATGTTGAGTATTAAATTTCCTATCCGATGTTATAAATTCAAGTCCAATTACTTATACTAGGCGGTTTGAAGTGTGGTCCGAAATTTTGCTATGCGTCAAAAACCAGTAAATAAAAGCACGGAGCGACGATTTTTTTAATGTTTGGCATCACTTGGAGAAAGTTGCTGTGGATACGGACACTATTCTTTCGTGAGGTTTCGTTCAGTCTGAACCAAACTATCCCAAAACACAGATCCACAGATACGTAATGGCAGTATCACAAATTACAAGATATGTTGACATCATGCGGCATGAGAAATCACCTTATAGCCAAATGGATAGCCTCAACTAGTATGTAGCTTAGTTCTTATTATCTGCTGTGTAGAGGCATTTCACGGTACATTATTAACAGAGTATTATAGATGTCTTCAAATGTAATGAAGGACAAAGAATTACACAAAGTTAGTGGACGCCATAGCTTGTTGTACTGTATTTCGAAACGTCGGACAAAGACAATATTGGCATGCACAAACGCATTCACATTCATATACAAACGCATTCCCGGAAAGACACTAATGCGTCTCACCTTTCCAAGAAGACAGGTAACGAACATTGATCAAAACGAAAGTAGGACACGTTCTTTCCGAGAAGCAGCGAACACATTCAAGTTATACATATACAGTCTGCTTAAAGGTGTTGAGCGCAAGAGACACAGCCCGACGAAACTCTGGTAGATACGATGTCAAGACACAAGACGAAGGGTCGCCGTGATAGTCCGGCGACACCCCCGGCGGACAGAAAAAGTAAGCGATGGGTAGATTTGGTGAACTTTGGTTAACTTAAATGAAATCTAGGTAAATTGCCCGTCATGTTAAATCTCGTGTGAATTTCTTCTAAAGATAATAGGCAAGACATATCGGATAGAATAAGCTTAAAATATCAGCTTAGACAACTATAAAATAGTGGGATCGGGCCAGAACGGCCGCCAATCTATGTATTGCACTGTGGGGTCATATTGACATAGACTGCACTCCATTCACAGTCTACAACATGTCTAACAAGCTGCGTGGTGAAACATGCAGAGCTACGTGCAGCTACCTTCGTCGTCATTAGAATAGCCGTATGATCGATATGCATTTCCTGGAATATGGCTCTATGTTTACAGGTTAATGTCTCTTATGGTGACACTATCAAGTCACTATACGTTCAAGCAGTGTTTGGATGAAAAATGTAATTTCGCTCAAATTGTTTAACTGCCCATGCAGAAACAGCATTGGTCATTGACCAATGAAATTAAAGTATTTTACAAGAAGGTAAGATAAGATTGTATGACAATGGCGGTGTCGGACACTCACTATGATCAGTGTATCATAAAGATAGAGTAAGGAAAAATTGATTATTGTGATTGATAGTTTATGGAATTTGTTTCTACGTTGAGATGTCGTTCACAAAAAGGATGGTTCAAACATCATTAGATTTATATCTTATACATAAACATTTCAAACATGTTATGATAAACCGCTGATTGATAATTGAGCATGGTGTCATATTCATGTCACAGGTATAAATGACAATGCCACTTGACAGCTGATTATCTCACATCACGTGGTCCATCACCCTATTTTCTTGACAGTTGTTATTAAACATGATTGATTAATGGTCGTTAATAATAGTTTTGGACTTCGCTTGAACTATAATGTTGGTGTATTATTTATATTCCGTTCAATATTACCTGCTCGCAGTTGGACCATATATCAGTAAACTAAGGACTGTGCTTCGTGTTAGGTTGGGAAATTTGGACACATTTATATACATATGGAAATTTATTAGGTAACACCCGTACTGAGTAACTTTAAAGTACTGGTGCATAAAATGTGTCAACGATTGCCACACCATATGGATGATAAAGGAGTTAAAGGAGAGTTGAGGAGAAACGAGATTACTAAGATATAATCTGGTCTATTTGAAATCGGCACAGATTTGGAAAATAACTTCCTTTCATGAAAAACATTAAGAATTTCAGCGCCATTCAATGTGAGATGGACATCCTCAAAAGGCTTAAGTAGACATCGCTTGGATAAGATGTCAATGTGTGCCATCAAATGATGAAGTAGGACACAACATCTTAATGTTATAACACGAGAGTATGATGTTAATTCAACGGAATACATTACCTAGCAATGTTCAGTATATTAATATAACACATACGTAGCACTTTTTCAGTGGTTCTAAAGTGTCTTACAGATTTCAAATGTCATTCAAATATTGAAGAAGGTGTTACGAGTTTGATTATGATGATATTGGCATTTTATTTGACAATGTGTTTACATTTGCTAAGATAAAAGCTCAGGGCGTCATACACGCAGTCAATGGAACCTTTAAAAATTGATAGTTAAGGCATGTAGCTTGTGTTTAACATGTACGACATTGGTCATTTTTCTCCCAAACCGTGAATAATGAACATTAAATCAGAAGTGATTACAATTTGTTGTTATAGTAACTGAAGACATGGCATATTCCAGTTTTGAAGTAGTAATAGATTGAAGATGTCGTTATTATTGCAGATACAGACGGGTCGCAATTTGCTTCAAACCTTATAGTGCATTAGACACATTCATCCAAAAGTCTGAAGTAGTGTCATTAAACCGGAGGTGCATATATTTTTGTCATCAAGGTATGATATAGTTGAAGTACTGCTAAAAACAATCCACATTCCTTACTTACGCATGTCAACCTTTCTACAGGAGTAAAGACTTCACATTCCCCAGAGCGAAAAATGAAATCCCTAACCTTGTCCTTCAATGATGAGGTGCGCCCACTGATAGACCTGGTCGACAAACTACGTGGGTATGGTCTGGACAGAGACATCAACCTTCCAGCCGTCGCCGTCATCGGGGACCAGAGTGCCGGCAAGAGCTCTGTTCTTGAAGCAATCTCTGGCGTCCAACTTCCAAGAGGAACGGGTACGTTTCTCAGGCAATTATATACTTTCAGAACAACACGCACACCATGAGACCAAGGAAATGTATGGAAAAAATGTATTGAACGTCCTTCGACAAGTGTTCATCGTACTTGTGTCTTAGATGAAGCATGCTTTTAGAATCTGGGAGAAAAATGAATTGCGATTTTAACAAGTGGTTTACTTGTGGCAAATTTAACGTTTTCATTTGTACTATATGTCATATCACAGAATTTGAAATGCATTAATTCCGATACATGTAGAATAGCGTATGCTACTGCTAAGGCATATGGAGAGTCTTGGACAGCTTTAACCTTCACATACCTGGTGTTGATGCATGTTTGATATCAGTTCTGAAACCACTTGACTCTTGAAACGGAGAGTTTCCATGAATAATCCTGGTTGAGGTGTCTCCAAACATGACTCACAAAATTGCCATCCAACTGGAAATATGGCAAGATGTAAATGTTGCAAATGGAAATACCATTCCTGCCATTTCGACAGTTAGTATTATGAACTATGCAGCTACGCAGTATGGTACATATTATGGAATTGTGACCTAGTTATACGACTTTCAGTGCTATAACATCTAATCTGAAACGTCGTTATTTATGAAGCTGAAATCCTAATAAAATAGCCTTATGTGATTAAAGAATTCTCTGGACAGTTTACTGACAGACTTAAAACTTTGCCAGTTGCGCAGTCATTTCTGCCTCCATTTGTACAATTTATATGAAAGACCCAGTTTGGCCAGGCGATGCTTAATTAAAACAATGTCATGTGATTCCTATATGATGTTACTGTTTTATGTTGTGTGAACCCCCCAAAGATGACTAGATCACTTGGAAATATCGTTCATAACATGATGTTTGGTTTACAAATATTCATTCTTGAATTCTGGATAGGTCGAACAGTTTTATCATCCATGAATGATCTCGGTTATCACTAAATACCACACTCAGATCGTTTATTACCTTTTTTATCGCTGCACTGAGCAATATTCCAGCCAGGTGACCGTGGTCTGTACAGCATAAGGCATAACCAGACAATCAGTACCTGACATAATGAACAACTATCTAGACCCTTTGGGTACCATTACAGCGAGCTTGACATTCTGATGACGTTAGTTGTCTTTTACGACAAACAGGGGTTGCACAAGATCACTTAAAGGTCACAAGCAACGTAAAACACAACTTTGCAGATTCTGATACCTTTTGGTATGGACTTACCGAAACAAATCGTCAAAAATGCAAATTCAACTTATAAAGTTGAAAAATAACGCGATGAAAAAAACCGCGCGAAATCGGAGTTCAAACGTTTCACTAATTTTCCCCAGACTTTTCTGGGGAAAACGGGTTTCAAAAGCTGGGCTGCGCTTATAGCACGTGCGCAGTGAAGAAGGTTGGCGCAGCTTGGAAGCGGTTGTTTGGTGAATACTCGGTGAAGGCTTTGGTGTGAGCTATTTTTCTAATGTTTTGTTGATATCTCACAGGCGCGAGCTTTTTATATGTTATGACAGTAAATTAACTGTTTATATAATTTCATTTGTCTATTTCACCACACGTTCTTCTTACCGAGTCACTTTCTCAGTTCGATACTTAAAGGCAATGCCATTATTTAGCGTTGACAGAATTTCCAACTGTGATATAGATATGTCGTTGTCAGAGACTAAACTCAGTGTCTTGTTTTATTGACATCTGTGTGTCTGCCTGCCTGTCTGCTAATGACAATATTCAATACACAGCTGCTATCACTGACCACATGCAATTTGAACTTAACACCAATCAGGCTATACACCATAAACAAAATGCATTGATTTATGGCCCGAGTTCGGTCTCTGTCACATTATGTAATTACACAGACAGGCAGGTGTGATACTTGAACACATGACATGTTATGATATCTGTTGATTGCAAAATGTTATACACAAAAAATGAGCATGTATTTACAAAACCCAACAGCTCTATATATACACACACAATGACCCGTGAGGGCGGCATCTGCAAATGAACCAGCCGTTACACTTGAGTGCACACCCACCCGCTCTGACTGGGTTCGGTATCCCGGCTGCTTCGTTTCTTGGGAAGTAAACCGAAGTACACAATTTTGCACTTTTGATTTGCGATTGTACGCTTATAATTTTGTTTATATGTTTTTTCCTAACCAGCAATGTATATTATATGTCATGAATAAGTGATAATTGTGTTTTAATTATGTTTGATTTTTTGGTTGCATGTGACCTTTAAAAATCGGACATTTGCCTGTTATCTTACATATTACAATATTAGCATTGAAAAAGAAAAACGCATGTTGTGCATTCGTGTTTGTAGGTATTGTGACAAGGTGCCCGTTGGAGATGCGGATGAAGCACTCAGAGGATGAGGACAAGTGGGAGGGAAAGATAATGTATAAGGACAAGCATGATGAACTCCATAAGGAAGATATCCAAGACAGAGAGAGCGTCGGAGACCTTGTGCGGAAAGGTTGTGAACTATTAAAACGGAGATGATTGTGTACTTGTAATATTATAAATTGAAAAGGAATTTATGTAACAATTAAGAATATTGAATTGTCATTGCCTGTAATGCAAAATAGTTGAATATAATTATAAACATATATTTCGAAAAGAGGCACAAGAACTATCTTCTGATCTATCAGACTGATAAGTTTTGCATTTTGTTTAAACATGAATTTAACCTGAATGAAGGCTCTGTTCTTGATACATGCTGTTGTATAATCTGTACCATGCTTGCAGCCCAGGATGAAATGACAGACTGTGAGAAGGGAATTAGTGATGATCTCATTACTCTGGAAGTGACGTCATCAGATGTCCCTGACCTTACTCTCATTGACCTGCCAGGTATAGCACGAAACGCCGTCAAGGGTCAGCCGGTTGATATCGAAAAGAGGGTAAGACATCATCACACTGTTGTTCATTTGAAAACACTCCATTCTAATTTTACATTTGGAATACAATTTGCAGTGTTCCTGAGTTTGCCTTTTTGTGATCCATTTCTAGCCACCACCTTGTAAAACTACTAATTCAGAAAAGATTATTTTAGTGATTAATTAAAACACAGAAAGGTATCGGATGTGACAATCATGTCAAGCAGGTTTGCGGGAACAATATCAGTTGTTTCATTCTGAGGTAATTATTATCATTATATTTTCAAGTGCACTATGCACCTAGATAATGTTATGAAACACACATCGAATAGGGTGATTTCATAATAAAGAGAAATCACGCGTCCAAAAAGGGTCCATTGTGTGATTCTGACATCATGAAGATTAGCATGCGTTTTGCATGATCTGATATCAGGTGTTGTCGAAAGATGGGAGTATACGTGAGAACTTTAGTTTGGTTGTTAGTTGTATACCATCGCACTAAACAACCTTCCAGTCGTCTCTAACGACAAGCAAAGGTTCTATCCACGATCTTGATAATATTTACAAGGTGCAAGTAACATATACGAAACCAATACAAGTCAAGTGTTTTCTAACAAATCCAGAATACTAGTTTTTTGTGTAAATTATCACTTATGAATTACGGTGCCATTGAATCAGTCAATAATATTTTTTTCAGATTAAAGATATGATCCGTAAATATATTAGACGCCAGGAGACCATCATCCTTGCTGTTCTACAGTGTAATGTGGATATTGCCACGTGTGAAGCGCTCAAAATGGCAAAGGAATTTGATGAAGAAGGTCGCAGAACTCTGGGTGCGTTTTTCCGTTTGGTTTATCGTTTCCAAGTCTGTTTGTAAATACTGGTTGTTTTGCAAATCTCGTTGGTTACTTATGTGTGTGATGATAGCAAGATTTCGATATATTGTAAAATGAATCTAAACAGGGGTTTTAACAAAGCCGGACTTGCTGGACAAGGGAGCCGAGAACGGTGTAATGAGGATCCTGAACAACATGGAGTTCAGTCTGTCCAAGGGCTACATCATTGTCAAGTGTCGAGGTCAGGAGGCTATATCGAAGGGCCAGTCCTTGACAGAGGCACTTGGAGATGAAGACAATTTCTTCAAAGATCACAGTCATTTCAGGTGAACTGCAAGAGATATATCTCGATGTTCCCATATATCTCTGTAATGCCGTCCTGAAAGGCACTAGGCAAAGAAGAGTTCTTGGAAACTCACACACATTTTGGGTAGTGTAATATTCATAATGACGTATATAGATACAAAACGTCAGTGCCATCGTTTATCCGTCTAGATTATCTGCATGAAAATGAAACTAATGGTAAAAACAGATAAATGTACCTCGTCCACACCTGATTGGGGTATGCATGCCCCGCTATGCCAGTTAAACCCGCCACTCTGATAAAAAGTCACGGTTTGTTGCCTACTCGGAAGTAATTTTGGCATACAAGGGCGATAAAGTCAAACAAGGGATGGAACAAACTACTCAGTTACACAATTGTTGCTACTTTTTCGAAATTATGTAATTTTGAAATACTTCGGAAACAATTTAGAAACGTTTTTGTTTGCAAAATCAGTAGGTGTTGGGGGCTACTTTGATGTTCAAACAAGACGAGCGACTCATCTCGACACTGCTCGATATTGAGCTTCTGGAACGCCATCGTATAAACGGTTAAGATGCCAGACCAGTATGTCTGTATCAGCCTATGTGGTCTGCACTCAACTCCCTGCTGGGTGATGGATGTAAATATCAAAACATGACATATGTACTTAAGTTATTTTTCATTTACGTATATACATTCTACCTAATTAGGGATATAAATATGTGCATGTTTCTATATGTTCTAGGTCCTTGAAGGTATCTCAGTGGGGAATCCTTACATTATCATCAAGACTGTCACTTGAGCTGCAGAAGCACATCAAGGTGAGTAACTATGTAAGCGCTTTGTTCGGAATAATACTATATTTTGTGCATTTGCAAGATATATGACACTGAGGCCCTGCAAATACCGATCCACCAATATCTCAACTGTTATGAGGTGACAAGTCAAGTTACAGTGACTTCGGGGATATGAATCATAATTGATATGAATCGTGATCTGTCCTCAGAATTTGAAAATCTGACATCCTCATTAATCCGACAATTTGCTGCTCAACGGACGATGTCAGATTAATGAGACTTGACTGTATATGACACCACCTTTATAGCCATATCCACGTATGGCGTGTCACCACGTCAGTTCAGTAGCTCAAATTCAGAACGAGGCTAAATCCTCGATAGCCGCATAAAAAAAACCCATACTTTAAAAAAAATGTCAATTCCAAACTCTAATCGTGAGTAAGGTTCAACAATAGGTTGGAAATGATAAAAGGGAGTAAAATAGTGCTAACATGATTAAACAAGATTTAATTGATATGAAGTTGTGTTATTTGATACCTTTAAATCATATTTTTTCCTGATTTTGTAAGAGTCAAAATTGTAAGTTCAAAGAACTTTTTCGAAAACTCATCATTTCATTTATTCTGAGGACAGCTCTTTATTTCCAAAGAGTGAGAGCACCTTTTAAGTTCCTTAAATTGGTTAGTGATAGTCACTGTTCCGCATCATAAACATCAGCTGCATCCTCAGTGTCACTCTTCGTCGTGTCATGGTCCTTGCATACCATGCTGTCTGGTTCCGACATGTCACAGTGCATTTCAGTCCATTAGTAAGTATTGACAACTTGGCAGTTTACAGCTTGATAGTTTGCTCTCGGGATGTGCATAGATAGACAATCAAAACCGGGTGGCAATTGTCCTGATTCAATTGCCCCTTTTCTCACTTCAAATAACTGGTAGCGCCATTGAGAACCTGAGGCAAACAGGCGAATACATGTGAATGCTTGAAGTGAGACAATCAAACCTGGTGGCACAGTCCACCCATTCACAAGTTTTTGGAAAGCCTCTTGATATTCTTTGCTGTTGACAAGAAGTTTGAATGCAATGACCTTCCCTCTGCCTCCAAAAGAACTGACAGTATCACATACAGTGTATGTGTTTAGTCCAGGAAGGGTCATGCGAACGCTTGGACCAAATGCCACAGCTTTCTGATGAAGTGAGGAGCCGTCTCCACTGCCGTATCTTGTGTCCTGAAGCAATGTTACAGTCGACTAGGCTATTCTTTGATCCGCGACTAACTCACTCTGCTGACTTGATGAAGTTCTTATGATACGCTTCAAATACCACATACCTGCGGTAGCTTCCTTATCCAAGGGGCAAAGCTTGTACCTTTGCATGTCCAATTTCCTGCTTTGAGAAACAAGTATCATATAGCCAAAGACCTTGTGATCTGCTTGCAGCATTGTTGTAGTGTTGGACCCTTTCTTCTTCTTTTGGCAGTTGTTGACTTGAGTAAATGTTTTCATACTTTGTTTTGGAAGACGATCGTAAACTTCTTTGTCTGGCTCTCAAGCCTCTGATGAAAAGACTTGAGAGCCAGAAGGTACATGTACTATCTTTGCCCCTCAGACTATTACCATGGGCACAAGCTAACTGTGATGGGACAATGAACAAGGTCAACAAAGCAGCTTTAGCAAGACATCTTAAAAGATATATTTCATTGCCAGAGGTAATTCCTGGACCCTCAACATGCATCATAGATGGAATGAATCTAGTACAGAAAACCCATGGCGAGAACAAGACCCTCGGGGAACTGTCGCAGTCACTTCTAACGTCAGTAATACATATTGGAACAGGAAGCTACCGCATCAATGTGGCATTTCAAGTGTACCATAACAACTCCAGCAAGTCAGCAGAGTGAGATAGCCGGGGATCAGAGAACAGCCTAGTCGACTGTAACATTGCTTCAGGACACAAGATACAACAGTGGAGGCAGTTTTTTACTTCATCATAAAGCAAAACCAATATCATCCAGTTCATTGTTCAAGACTGACAGCTTCCTCATTCCAGGGCCAAACTTGAAGACAGAATACTGTATGTGACATGTGGAAGCAAGTGCTACAGAATGGCCTCTGAATCTTCAGCTGAAGATGAATCCTTGTCAACTAAGACACACTGATGCTGTTGCATACTAAACATGCATCTTTGGAATCCTCATCAGTTGTCATTTCCTCAGATGACTCAGATGTCTTCGTCTTGTCCTTAGCAAAGAGCAGTGACATTGCAACCAATATTTACATTAACACTGGTACAAAAAAAATCACAAAGATTCATTGATATCAAGAAAGTTGCTGCGGCATTTGGTCCAAGCGTTTGCATGGCCCTTCCTGGACTACACACATACACTGTATGTGATACTGTCAGTTCTTTTGGAGGCAGAGGGAAGGTCAATGCATTCAAACTTCTTTGCCTCAGATTCTTAAATAAGGGATGCCCATCATTGGCGCTACCACTTATTTGAAGTGAAAAAAGGGGCAATTGAATCAGGACAATTTCCACCCTGTTTATATTGTCTATCTATGTACATCCTGAGAGCAAACTACCAAGCTGCAATATGGAACAACTTTCTGGAAGCTGAATATCCAACACAACGGGCAACAGATGGTCATGGATGGGTGGAAGAAAATGGTCACATAGAGATTTGCTGGATGACAGGACTTCTTGCTCCAGATGCTGTTCTTGAGTTCATTTCTTGTAAGTGCACAACAGTCTGTAAACTGCCAAGTTATCAATGCCTTACCAATGGACTGAAATGCACTGTGACATGTCGGAACCAGACAGCATGGTATGCAAAGACCATGCCATAACAAAGAGTGACACTGCGGATGCAGCTGATGTTTATGATGCGGAACAGTGACTATCACTAACCAATTTAAAGAACTTGAAGGTGCTCTCATTCATTGGAAATAAAGAGCTGTCCTCAGAATAAATGTAATGGTGAGTTTTCAAAAAAAGTTCTCTGAAAGATATGATTTAAAGGTATCAAATAACACAACTTAATATCAAGTAAATCATGTTAACCATGTTAGCACTATTTTGCCTCCCTTTTATCATTTCCAACCTATTTGTTGAACCTTACTCACGATTAGAGTTTGGAATTGACATTTTTTATAATTTATGGTTTTTTTGGGCGGCCATCTTGGATTTAGCCTCGTTTTGAGTTTGAGCTACCAAACCGATATGGCCATCATACATTTTTTATTTGTAGAGACCATAACAACTTTAAAAAACGTGTTTGGTCCCACTGAGCGGTTCCGAAAAATTGTCTGGCTCATGGCCTAATAGTCGTGTGAAAGAATTCACCAGCTTCTTCTGAATGTTATACATAAAGCAGCACGTTAAAAATGGGTCTGTCTCTTGAGATGGACTAATTATACTAACTCAAACGCAAACTCGGACCTTCCCAATTATTCATCTCTGTACGTTTACCATGCATTTAAGTATGTGTTCTTCTGATCTTCTGACATACTGATGAAGCTTGACATGTCTCATAAGAAGAGTAGTATATACAATGGGGTTTTTGGATCACTTTCAACAAAAGCCTCTGCAAAGCCTTATTTCCCAAATAAGGCTTTGGTCGGATCCTTAGCTCTTGCTGCCATTACCCCTACTATGAAAAAGTTTGGGACGCTAGCGGAATGCGAACGCCCAATGTTACACCTCCTAGCCGCGCCACTTAACCGACTGAGCTACCGGGGGCATGGTTGAAGTATGTCGGTTTAACGGGTCTATCCTGGGATTGCATCATCGTGCCGCTATGCCGTGTTGACTGGAGGTAACACTGTGCCGTACGGTACGATCAATAATTCTGCTCTTACAAACCCCCTACCTGGCCCATCCCTCAAGTAGTACAAGTTAGGCTCGTCGGCTTTCATGTCCACTTTATCTATGTTGTAAGTTTTGACTGACCATATAGGATCGGTGGCTCGCTTACGGCTATCACCCTCATGTTCCCCCGGCTGGTATAGATACCTAACTAGGGCCCTATCTGGTATCTGTTTCTCCTTCCCATGCAATGGAGCAGCCGACTCTGCCGCTATTGATTTTAGTTTGATAGCGTCTGCCGGTTTCTTATCAGTGAGCCGGGTGGCTTCATGGTTGATTGCCGACACCACCTTGGGTAGCCTCACGACCCTTTCAGTCGATCTTTTCCCCGGGTTGGCCATCTCCCTAGCATACTGATGTCGGAATAAGTGCTCAGCCAAAGTTAAATTGAATCTCTCAACTATGGCTTGGCTGCGATGGGCTCCAGCCGTGCCACGCCTGACCTTTGTATCGTGTTTGGCTAGCAGTTGTGACACGACACCCATGAACTCCCGCCCAGGGTCAACTTGCAGCTCTGTTGGCCACGTCAGCGGACTGCGTTATGTATATGCTCGAATCCTCTGGCTACCTGGGCAGAATCTTCGTGGTCGAGGGTCTGGCTTCCTTCAGTAGCGACTGGCTCGATCCACTACGGTTAAGGCATACTTGTACCCTCTTGGTCGTGGGGTAGGAACAGTAGGTCTGCCTGGTGAACGTTATTAGGTATGTTAATTCCAAACTTCCTTCTAGGCACGTAGCGTGGTGGCGGCAAATAGATCTGCCACAGGGCTTGTTTTTCAAGCCACGCTTTGGCTTCCTCCGGGGATACTCGCGCCATTTTAGCCAGCTTATCTACAGCGCTAGCTCCTTTCCAGTACCCACGCGGGCTATAGTAAATAGCCTCAAACTTTCTCTGGTTCCGTGACATGTCGTCCGACAGGGTATTTATTTATATCGATGTTCTTGGTTCAATTTTCTCATGCCCGATGCAGCGTACGTGTTTTATCCCATCAATAGCTATCCAACGTTAAGTGTCCATCGGCGACAGGGACGTCTTGTTTATTGTCAATCCATTATATCCTATGGCCATCACTTCTAAGTGTGTTCATTTTATGTCTAAAGGTACGGGTCTTGAACAGGGCTTCCTTTGAATCTGGCGTGGTTTGATGTGTTGTTTCACCACGTACTTCTTAACACCCTTCGCCTTCCGAATCTCACCATTGTCGGCCTTCAGTATGGAGTACATCTTAGGCCTCAAACCTTATGTACTTTCGGCTATGGGCGTGCCAGCACACTCGTCCTTCATCTTAC